TTGACGTTGCAATGGACTGAGGCACATCTGTCTTGTTCTTCCAGCTGCATGTACAGTGACTCTGCTACTCCCACAACCATGTTACAGTGGAGTGTGACTTCATCAGGACTGAAGTTAAAGACATTGATTTTCTGGACCTCTTCAGATGTATCTACTACGCACTCTGGTACATGGACTCCAGGTGGAAGATCCCTTTTCCCTGCTATAATACCAGCTGGAGCAAGTTTATTTGCCCTGGGTATCTTCATCGTTATCCAGGCTCCTGAATGAGGTGGAATAACTGTGGTCTCACTCACTTCAACACGACAACTCATTTCAGCTTCGGATGAAATCCAACAACTTAAGGAAGAATCCCCTGAATTGAGCTTTAGACGTTTGTAGTCGATGGCACTCACATGCTTCAAGAGGAAATCTTGACCCAGGATTGCCTCCGGAATTACATCACACACAAAGATAGGATGTGTGTATTTTTGTCCATCAAGAATAATGTCCATGTCAGCATGCCCTTCAAACTTTAAACCTATTCCATCCACTCCTGCGACTTTAATGGTCCCTTGCTGGAGAAAAGGAGCATCTTCCAACTTGATCTGGTCAAATATCCTCTTTGATAATATTGTCATGGTTGACCCACTGTCAACAAGGACGTTTGCTTCTACACCATATATGACACCCTGAATGTAGAATCCATTATCCAAACCCCCCTTAGAGGTCCCAGTTAGTCCAACTCGGATAGCAGCATCTTCAGGCCTTGAATTCCCTGTCTCCCCATGGCCTACTGAGTCGACAGGATGGCTTTTCCCTGCGTCCCTGCAGATCCAGCATGAAAGGTGGACATCTGTTCCTGGCACCTTTTGTATATCGGGCAGTCTTTCATAAAATGTTCCCTTGATTTGCAGATGAAACAAGTTCTCTGACTTTGAGGTCGGTCATTTCTCTTCTCATATCTGAAGTTGTTGCCCTTTTCAAGCTTCTCTAACCTTCCCATGATCTTGTGCAGCACTTCACCCTGAAGATCTTCATTCGGCTTGGGTGCGCTCTCAAGTTCCAAGGGAGCAAGCCCTCCTTCGTTTCTGTTCCCTACTGCCCTGACTTGTCTCTTCTTATCTCGATGGTCACCAACCAATGCCTCGAACCTTTCAATCACCTCCACCGCTCCTGAAAGAGTCCTGCATCCTCTGTCAATGCAATGAAATTTAAGCTCTGGTGAGACTGTCTTGTATAGCTGATTAAGGGCAATAGCTTCCTGTGCCCTGCTGTCTAAGTCAATGTATGCCCTTTGGGTCATCTGTCTTAGGTCATCGGCCAAAGCAGCAACTGACTCCGCATTCTGTCTTTGTCTGACTTCTAGCCTTGAAAGCCATAAGCTCTGTTGTCTCTCACTCCCAAATCGGTGGTTCAGGTTCCTAACTAGCATGTGCAGTGACATCTTCTCGTGTGGGGCCAGTCCCATGTAGAATGTCCTAGCAACCCCCTTCAGGCTGGCAGCAAGAACTAAGAGTTGCTGGTCCATAGGCCAGTCACCGAGTTCTGCACAATTCTTGAAGTGTGACAGGTACTCCTCCCAGTCTGTTGTCCCATCATAGAAATCTGGCCTGATTGTGAAGGGTACTCTTCTTCTAGGTATGACCATTGGTCTCCTAGGTGTTGCATCATCTCTATGGTGTACTCTGACCTCGCCATTGGATCTGCTTGGCTCTTCATCAAGTGATTCAGCCTCTTCATACAGTTCATCAAGTGTCTCCTCTTCAAAAGATATGTCCCCTTGTCCTTCTTCTGCTGTGGTTTGATGACACTTGTCAAAAGAAACTTCTGCGTCTGGAGATGAAACTGTAGCCATCTTGTCACTGGTCCTAACTGTAAGTCCCTTGGTTCGTATCAAGGATGTTTAAAAATATAAACATCCCACTTCTGACACCAGTTTGTAGCGGCCCGGACCCGAACTTCTGATAAACCTCGAAGTCTGGATGTAACTGAGAGTCAAAACACTTCTTTTCAATGAATAATTAGTTTTTATTCATGTGGGTATAACAATGCCTTATATGGACAACACAATGCTTCCAAATAAGTAGATCCCTCTGAGCTTTAAGGTTTATTTGTAAGGACCAGTGTCAGGGCAAAATAATTATTGCCTGTAACTATAATGGTAGTTTACTGCTATAAATATATATATATGGATGACTTCTTTATCTGAATAACTTTACAGTTACTCAGATAGCAATTTGTGTCTGTGTTCAAAAATGCAGTCTATTTATAGAAATGATTACATAAGGACAAGGGGAACTTTTGGGCTGAATGATCTGCCCTTTGATTGAAACTGACCTTTAGACTGCCAAAGTCAGAATGACCCAGAATGGATCTCATCGTATTTATAGGTGTGAGAAAATGGTCACATGTCTGTTATTGACCAATCAAATAACGAGAAATTACGTCTCTTTACGTCCTTATTCTTTTGAGGGATCTACTTTCACAATGTAAAATCACTGAAATAAAGAGGAAGGCAAACCATCTCAGGAGGTAATTTGGTATAAAAATGAGTATTTATACCAATCAATGAATTCTGTCTAATTGATTCACTAATTGCCTTCCAATATCACAAGATAAACAATTACGTCCTGCTACATCAAAGCTACGTCATTGCTGCCTGCCGAGAGGACGTAATAACAACAAGCAACATCGACTGGGAATTACGATGGACAATTCAAAGAGGAAGATTACAAATGTCAGGAGGCAATTGGAATTTATCTGATGCATAAGACGTTTAATAACACAAATTGGCCACTGGTATGCTTTGACAGAAGCACTGGATGTCATATTTATGAGAAACATGTTCATAAATAGTGACGCTAAATACTGCGCATGAATACATCAGCGAAGATTACATAGTTCCTGATGTCAGAATTAACAGTAACTTTAATACACGTCTTGACATATCATCAAATACGATTCTGGGTTCCTCTGGACATAGTTCATTAGATTAAATAAACTTTATAATGCAAATGCTAAGCATTAGCCAAATTCAATAACTTCATCGCGACCTAGGCTAGCTGTCACAAAGTTAACATGGCGGGCGTCGGCGAAACACGTAGCTCAGCCCTGATCACAAATTCACACAAATATGGATAAATATCAAGCTGCCAAGTGATTGTGATCTGTTTGTTGAAGAACAAAGGTATGATTAATCTGTATCTGATTGTTAAATTGCGTAACAGTGTGCTTAGAACGATGAATTCTTCAAAAGTTACGGTCAATGCAAAACTCTTGAAACAAGTAAACAACATCGTTTTGACAGGCACGTTGTTGACATCGATGCTTATGAGGTACTGGCACATCCTAAACAATATGCGTAACATGATGGCATGGACATATGATTATTTTTACGAGATAACAGTGTGCCATGAAGCTCTATAAAAGCATGCTATGATCCTCCGATAGATTTCTTACCAAAACGGGATTCAAAACATTGAATTACGTGAAAACGAGGTTGGCAAAAAAATACTGATATATACCTGCAAAACTAATTACAGTTCTCAGGATAATTATGATATAATTCGTGCACTGTCATACAACCATCAAAAATACAACAGGGAAATATTTAGGAAATATTTCTAATTTTTACAAGCTGTCATAACTCTCACATTTTATAATAAAGACATTAATATTTATATATTCTTCGTGATGGCCATCACAATATCACTTGGATTATTGTAAATTCTTGTAAATATATTTAACATGTCCCTCTTTCTGCCTGCGCTGTTGAGATGACAATACCTCCATCCATATATCTGTGGATTGTTTGAGGTCTCTGCTGGACCGTGCAGTCAGGATTTACACCCTGAAACAACGACTTTCCATGCAATGTAATATCATTACTGTCTTTTTGTCATGTGTCATCCTTGACTTGTGTATTTGTGTAGTTAGTACACTTGCCCATCCCTTTCCATGAGACAAAAGTAGTATGTCACGTTGGTCATTTAACACACACCAGAAACATGTTCATAGTTTTTTTTTGTAGAAGAAATGTATCAGTAATAGGTTCATGTGGTGATATGCGAAGGGTGTCACCCAACGAAGGATATTACAAATGTTTAAGTCAGTTGGCAGAGTCTTGTCAAGTGTTTCAGATAGATAGTCAGTTTCTTGACTGCTGTTGTATTTGCTGGCCGACCGTGTGGGGAAGGATCGCCTCTTTGTCTTCATTACAGAGAGCAGCGTATACAAGTAGTCTAACACATCAGAAATGTTTTCTGAAAGTGAATCACTTGAAAGGTTTCCTGATAACAGTGTATGCCACAGCCTCTCGCGGCAAGGGAGTTAACTGACTATAAAAGTCCAGTTCCCACCCATACCGAACAAGGCTGGAATTTGGGAGTAATAGTTTTGCTGGACTAACGAGTAAACGCGTAGTCCAATCAAAATCGAGATCGAGATCCTGTTCGTAATCAAAACAATCTTATTAAAATCAGATCTTAGTTCTCACTACCACTAAACAAAGATCTGAGGACATCCCATTGCGGGTCATGTCAGAACGTCCTTATATCTGACCAATCAGAGCATCGCTTACCAGATACGAAAGTGACAGTGATTTTTGATCGTGCATCCTCAAAAAAACAAAAAACAGGGTATTCCGAACGACAGTTATGGGCTTTATGTCTGTATTCATACAATCTAGACCATCTATTAGCGATTCCAGAATGTTCTTTTGTTCAGTTTTGAATTATTTAATCGAGTATATGGCAAAATATGTTTCGAAGCGTAGTCACCAGTTTGAAACTCGTGCCGTAGAGCTCGATTAGGCTGCCTTCTGATTGGCTATTGTCGATTTCTTGTTAGTCATTCCATTGGTCGGTCAAAGTTCGCGAAATCAGATCTTTGTTTAGCGGTACCGAGAACTGAGAGTGTAATCAAAACGGCGACTGCCGTGCAGATTTCGGTCCATTGCCGGATTTGCAAAGCATTTGTACCGTCAACTGGGCGTCAACAAATATTTTCCAAATGTGTTCATGTGTTTAATGAAGGTGTTCAAGTCTTCTGCTACAATCCACATGCATTGGGTGTCGGTTAACTTGATCAGATCCTCTTGGGTGGGCTCTGACATTTTGTTTGAATCAAATGCAAGTGATATAAGAGGTGGAATCTGATTAGAGCAGGGACATAAAAGGGGCGTAACTCTTAATCAAGCAACAAAATTCAAGCCTAGTTTGGCAAGGGAGGAAACTGGACTTATATAGTAGTTACCTCCCTTGCCTCGGGAAGATGTGCATGCCAATCCTGATGGTGGTATCCCGTGCAGTGACCTCCATTGTATCTTTATTACATATTAAGAGAACACAATTTGGTGTTTATATTCTGACTTTGTATCAGTATCACACCCAGGTATGTGATAAGTAATTTAATTGTATGTCAAGGGTGTAAATCTCATGATTCTGGTGATTCGTAGTACCATTAGCACTCTGTACTGAAGAAAATAACGACCCAAAAGTTAAAAAGCAGTCTTAAAGGCGACAGTTGAGAGAACATGACACTCCAAAGCTGATGTTAAGATGCCTCGTATAACGTATTATTCCCTGATCCCAAACGAACACTTGCCGTCCGTGGGATGCCCCTGAGTTACAATCACAGCCTGAAAGCAACACTTTCCTCCAAGCTCGTCTCCAGGTGGTCCTGTAACACCTCAGCAGAAGGGAAGTACCGGCTGAGGCACAACAGGTTAGCAAACCCATCAAACACAGGTGCAGATACTTGAGCTGACTCCGAGAACGTTACGTGAAGAACCTTCATATTCAGACATTCAGTACTTGACCATAAGAGAAGAAGACGCCTCAGCTGGTCTTTGCCAAGCTTCAACAAAACCTTTTCCAAAAAGGCGCTCACAGATTTCTCAAAACTTTTGTCTCTGACGCTGTCCGAGTAGGAGTAAGAGATTTTCTTTGTTACTGATGTAGCTGTTGGCTGAAGAACATTGTATAAATCGGTAATGTCTGATTCTGTAACTGTCCTGAAAGTAGAGTTTGAGGAGTTCTTGAATGATCCGCTCATCTGTGTCAGCGGCCAATATGGTCGACAATAACAGTACTGGATAGCCATCTCAGTAAGGAAAGTTCTAAGACTGTCTGCTGAAGGAAGTTGGGTGCATCCATAAGGTGCTAAGGCTATAGCAGCTTGTGCCATAGTTGCTGGCGAGTCATACCCATCACACCTCTCAACCTGATCTTCCAGGTCCTTAATGACCGCCCTTTCACTTTCCGACAGTATGCATCTGAATGAAGCCATCATTAGTTTATCTGAAGCTTCCTGGTCTGTCAACACCACACGTGTGCAAACCCTGGACAACTTCAATGGCCAATAGTTCAACAGAATCAAACCATGAGCAAGTATTCTCCCGAGGATAATAAACAATTCTCGCCTCGCCAATGGCGACAGTTTAGGTACAAGTTCTTCATTCCCAACAAACCAATACTTGTAAGCCTTTCTCCAAAACTCAGTGAATATTCTGTTGGTACCCATCTCTTCAAGGTCGCCATTTCTACTATTTTGAACAAGCACCAGTAGATCACAGGCCACGACGGTTGGGTCGTCCTTGTAGAACTTGATGACGTCATCCACGAACGTGTCACGCGAGATGAGCAAGGTGCGAGCAGCTCCCAGGCTCAGCCTCTCCAGGAGAGCCAGGGACAGTATCTTGCTGACGTCACCTTGAGTACAAATGTATAGTCAGTCACAGTACAAAACAAGGCAGTCATACAAATACTATACAATTAAAGAAGTAGAACAGGTAATAAATACATAATTATGTTTACTATTTATATAATTTAATGTAACGACGAATACATATTTCTAAACTAAGTAATTTTCGCTATTATAGGTACTTGCGTTTTGGGTCTCACCCTACTAACAGATAACTTAATGTTAACCAAACCAAGTCAAGAATATGGTCTGAAAATTAGAAACTATAGGGCTACTGTAACTATAGGTTACTGTCTGTATCTCAAAATAGGAAGCGACCTGGGAAGATAATGAGGAACAATTCCAGCAGTTTTGATTATCACAGGCAACCTTAAAGTTGGTTGATTGGTTGGTTTGTTGTTTAACGCCGCACTCAGCAATATTCCAGCTATATGACGGCGGTCTGTAAATAATCGAGTATGGACCAGACAATCCAGTGATTAATATCATGAGCATCGATCCACGCAATTGGGATCGAAGACCTATTCTGCCCCGGAATCTTCACGGGTGGCAACCTTAAAGTACATCGGTGCTGCCATGTGTAGATTTAGTTAGGTTTGGTTGTTGTTTGTGCCGCTTGCTATTCCAGTTGGCGGTTGCAGCCGGGCTGGTTCAAAGAAACGAAACTCTTAAATGACGATTAATTCATACATCCCTGGCTATGCACATAATATATGAAACAAAACAAAAGTTAAAGAACACCAGACCGATTTTTTCTTATGTAATCATCGTCTTCGTTTCAGTTGTATATAGTGCCTGACATCCTACTATACGCTATCAGCACAGAAACATGTCGTTAAAGCTACTACCAGAGGCGTCTGAAGTTCCATCCTCGGATACTGCTGGCACGGTTGGCTCCATGGGTTCTTCCTTCTGTACAACAGACAACATGAAACATTGGATATAATGGGAGAAAACATGTCCGACATCTGCTTTTGGTTGACGGCGCCCGTAACCCAGTGGTCGAAGGCACCGAAATTTGCTGTGCAGAGTTGTGTCCCCTGAGAATCCGCTGATAATTTGTAAGAATGAAGATTCGCCGATTATGACCCTTGATCTGTTGGCACAATACCCGTGTTCGTGGATTTTGAAACTTACAAATTTGAGAAACGTAGTTGGTCACACACACACACATACGCACGCACGCGCGCGCACACCCCACACCCCTGAATATCAAATGGTCCCTAAATATACTCTTTAAAAAAAGAAACGCATAGCCAGATTTGTGTGAGGTAGGAAAATACATTTATACGAGGAACCGTACAAGGTATTGAGCCAAAATGTTGTGGAGAGAACACTTGGTGATTGTAGTCATCTCAGTTATCGGTACACAGGAAAATCACAAGGTGAAGGTCAGCTACCATCAATAGCGCGTATGTCCCCCGTTGGAATCGATAGCGGCCTGACATCTCCTGCCCATGGAAGAGACGAGTATGCGAATCACATCCTGGGGAATGGTAGCCCACTCGGCCTGCAACACCAAAAAAAACAACTGCTGCAACGTCTGGGGTTGTGGTTTACGTCGGCGTAGCCGTCTATCCAATTCATCACACAGGTACTCTATCGGATTCAAATCCGGGGATCTGGAGGGCCAGGGGAGAACATCAACGTTGTTGTGTAGACAGGCTCTTGTGATCCGTGCTGTATGTGGTCGAGCGTTGTCCTGCTGGAATACACCGTTGCCGTTGGCTGCAAATGGGAGGACGTGTGGTAGGAGAATTTCATTGATGTATCGTTGAGCCGTAAGATTGACCTGGATATGGACCAAACAATCCTGCCATTATGAGAGATAGCCGCCAACATCATAACTCTACCCCGACCCGTGCTCGACGGAGGAGAAATCTTGATACGTCGCTGAACCAGACATTTCTGCATCGCAGTTGAGGCCACACCCTGTGTTGACGACACCAATGCAGTCGTTGTTGACGATGTTGTCGACTCAATATGACGTGTCGAACAGGACGTCTTGCTCGTAGACCTGCTGCTCTTAGACGGGTTTCGTAGGGTCTGGTCGAAGATTCTGCACAGTCCTGGTAATGGGATGCGGTTGAGGTGGCTGTGGTCGACCTTTCACGTTGGTGGCACAATCGGATGTAGCGATCTTGGGCGGGGGTGGCTACTCTTGGTCGTCCCGACCTTGGCCGATCACGTGTTGACCCATGCTATTGATGGTGCTGGGCGCTACATTGAAAACCCTGGCTACAGCTGATCGGGATTCCCCTGCTGGCAAGCGGCCTATGACGTTGTTTCTTTGCACTTCTGTTAATCTTGCCATGTTGTTGAACTGTCACTGTTCGATTGACGCAGATCGAACCTAATGCCAGGCAATCAAAAACCCTGCGCTTTAATACCGTTCATAGTGCTGCTGCACGTGCAGTACGTGCAGCTCCATATGGACCTTTTGTTAATGCACTGGGTACCTTTTTTCCGAATCGTACGTGTTTTCATGTCCTTGTTGTGATCATTTTGATCCGGGAAATTTGTCACTGTCACTACAACACATTAAACCTCTTTATTTTGCACCTCTTGGTCCGCTAATTTTGCTTTTATGGCCAAAAATATCTTTTTTTGAAGAGTATATATAGGTACAAAGAATAATTATCACAGTTGAGTAAACCAATTTGCCACCCACCACCTGACATGAAGTCTGTGAGGCTTGTGACGTCACATCAACGTGAGGGTGGCTCTGAGACAGGGTGCTGTACTTCAGGTGCTTGACAGACAGCACGTGCAGCGGGTTGACGTGTGGACTGACGTCATCTCTCGTGCTGCTCGTGCTGGTCACAGGGACCTCTTGTCTATCGCCCTGTAACAAAAATATGATCATTACACTAATCTTTTTATTGAGATGAAACATACAGTATTTCTTTCATAACGGGCTACATTGCCGGCAGCATGGTAAATTAACTATAAACACCATGCAGGAGACATATGACCAACACTGACAGATCATGTTCACGTTCTTTGAGGGAAGCTATAATGTGTTCTGCATATTTTTTATCTAGGTCTAGATTATGTAATAAGCATCGTGTGTGAGACTCTGACATACAATTCATCCATGTAGATTTAGGGTACTCATCATCTAATACAACATGACAGTTTCTTTTACAACTTTTTTTTCCAGTGATGGGAATAAAAAAAAACAGCAGATATTGTTGGGTACAGGGTATTCATTGCCGTGTACAGTGTTGACTTTTTTCGATGTTGAGTAATTTTGCAATTCATCGTTCTCATTTGGAGACAAACAGGCAGTAGTTTTATTGCCATCTTAAGCTATGAGTTATGTGAGTTAGTGAGTTGGGTTTAACGCCGCTTTTAACAGTATTCCAGTTATATCACGGCGTGTCAGCTTAATGTGCGAGGAAAGCCCGAAGTGATGCAGGTCTCAGACGTTTACCACTTCTGTGAAACCCACGAGCACGGGTATGGTACTGACAAACCTAGAAACATAATCGGGGCGAACCGGGATTCGAACCCACAATCATAGGTTTCTGGCGTGCCTAAGGGACGCAACTCTGCACAGCGAATCGCGGCGCCTTAGACGACTGGGCCACCCGTGCCCCCGAAACCAGTTTGACCTCGGCCTTCAACGCCTTCGAGTTATGACCAAGCAGATTTTGAAAGACTAGAACCAGCCTTGCTTGGACACTGCAAATCGACCTGATCTAGGCCCCCCTTTATTGAGATAACGTGGTATATAACCCACAGAACCAGTTCACTGCACCAGACTTCAATGATTGTCCTCGTGTCAGAGTTTGTTTGTTGTTTAACGCGTCTGGACCAGACAATCTAGTGATTAACATCATGAGCATCGATCCACGCAATTGGGATAGTATGACATGCATCAACCAAGTCAGGGAGCCTGACCACACGATCCAGTTGGTCGCCTCTTACGACAAGCATAGTCGCCTTTTACAGCAAGCATGGGTTGTTGTAGGCCTATTCTACCCCGGATCTTCACGGGTCTCTTTTAATGACGTACATGTACACTGCTGGGAATGATGACGATGATGCCTTTGTAATTGATGTCCTTGAGCTCCCGGGGAGTCCCCGACACGACCTTCAGGAGCTTCTTCTGTCTGTCCATCCTGTACACCTGAAGGTCCCTGCCCACTAGGTTCGGGTAGAGCTCCACCAGGAACTCCCGGAACTCCTCCGCCGTCTGGTTGATGAAGATGCAGGTGGGGCGAGGGTAGCCGTTGTTGTAGTCACGTAAAGGGTACCCTTGGGGTGGAGTGAACAAAATATAGTGAGTGAGTAATTGACAAGGACTATACAGACTCAATGGACATCGTAAGCAGTAGTGTGGAGAGTTGAGGATTCTCAAACGCTCATGGTGTTCGTTTGGCATCTAGTAACTGCTGTGCTAGAGCACAGAGGGGTGTGTGTTGCTGAGATGTTTACTTAAAACCACGGCAGTCTAATACTCCATACAGTAGATCATGCTCAAAGCACTACAGACTCTTTGCCCCAGTCAACGGATCGGTGTATATTCACTTTGCATTTTCAGCTCTATTGGGCGCTAGAATTAGCATTTCACACTGCTAATAAAACAGCATTGCATTCTTGAACCATGTGAATAGTCTCTCGCTGGCTCAGAATAACGATTGCTGTGTCTGATGGGGAAAACGAGTCTGAACCAGACAATCCAATGATTGACATTATGACTATCGATCCATGCAATTGGGATACGATGACATGCATCAACCAAGTCAGCGAGCCTGACCACCCGATCCCGTTAGTCGCCTCTTACGACGAGCATAGTCGCCTTATACGGCAAGCATGGGTTGTTGAAGACCTATTCTACCCCGGATCTTCACGGGTCTCTGAACTAATAGCCTAATGTACATGTACTCACCGTAACCCATGGACTGGTACTCTCTTTTAAGGTGCAGATCGCGTTCAACGGTAGATGTGAAGGAAGGGACAAAAGAAAGGATATCCGGAAGACAATAAATAAATCGTTCGAAAACCCGTCGCTCCCTGGGTCCCTTCTTCGCCCAACCTTGCTTGGTAACTGGGGCCCGTATGGGGCCAAATGAAGACGTGTGCTGCTGAAACTCCTGGGGAAGAGGACTAGGTGTGTCCTCATCGTCCGTCTTTGCGCCAACCAGTCGTGCCTGTGCCGTAGTCAGCTGTCTGTGTATGATTTCAAATCTTCCCGGCACGGACTGTTTGTCGGCTTCCTTTGATGTGGTCTTGCCCACGAGCATGTGCAACGCTTGATCACTCATTTCCGGTGTTGGTTGCCTGGCGCGGTTCACGGTGTTTTAAACTGCTGTAAACTTGAACGAGTGTAGCTGTACAAGGAGCTGATCCGTTTATCTGTATGATAAAACATGGCTTGGAAATATTAACCGAAACAATTCGATATACAGTGAAAAGGCCAGTTTTAATACCCACAAGGCCCGGTATTGTAGTTTATTGGGCAACTTACAATTATAATGTACGACTTTCCATCAGTTTAATTTGCTTCAGACAAACCAAACGTATAATGAATAATTATAAATTAATCAATAAATCGAACTACTTTTTTTAAATCAATGCCTCTTCACACAGACAAGCTAAAGACAAACGCAATGCAAGTCAGACCTGTGAAGACAAAGAAGGATTACGTCCCTTTGGAGAACACATCATCATTCCTGTTGTCTCCGAGAATTTGCTTTAAACATCAAAACCAAAGTAACCTGGCAACCTCAAAAGGGCATGTGTTAATGTGTGAACACTCTGTGGATACGTTATGAACAAAACATGGAGGATCTAGCAACATACAGAGTTAGAATCGGAACCTTTTGTCATCCACCCGGGACCCGCCAAGTCAGCCACGTTGACAGGTGCACGCCATACACAACATGTCATGATAACTCAGATATGCCGTATCGCATTATTATATGCACTTTGCTGCTGACTGCACACCTTTCGTTATCCGCATGACTGATCAGTAATCAAAATGTACTTTGAATCTGATATTTGATCACTTTAAGGCGAAACAAACAACATTTTTTGTGATCAGATGACAAATATTGATAACGAACTAGATAGACTTGAGTCCTATAGCAGACGTAATAATATCCTCATCCACGGAATACCGGAAGCTGCAGGCGATGAAAAATCAATGGCATGTAATCTGTAATGTTATCTGTCCTCAATTAACATGCATGATTCAAAACCATTGGACATAATACGTGCGCATTTACAATACGTGTAAATGCAAATCGGCCTCGCCCAATGATTGCTAAGTTACATTCGTCTAATGACAAAGTTCGTACCTTGAAAGCGATACCCACATTCAAGGAAGGTGGACTTGGAATTTCTAGTGACCTAACGTCACGTCAACGTCAACAGCTTCAGGCACTTAAGGAACCAACGCTTTTAGGTATTTCAAAGATGGTCGATTGGTGACAAAACCCCGCACCATGGAAACAACATTAGCAACGTTTAGCATTGCGACAAACACGAGAAAGCCGATCTTTTCTTAGAGGACCGGATTGAAAAGAAAGTGTCACATGCTTCTATCAGCTAGGATATTGACCGAGGCCCGGATAGTTCTTCACAAGATCCGAACACTACCAACGCCGGTGTTACGTTAAGCGTTGATTGTCCAAGCGAAACATTCCCCTTTCTTAGTTGGAATATTAATGGACTTCGAAACAAAATTGTGGAAACTTTTGTCGACAGTAGCTTTGATAATAGCTGATTAGTTGGTTATGATATGTATTATAACCAGCAATAAAGTTATCTGACTACGGAAGGCTGTCAGGTGGTATTTGTGTATGTGTCCATCAATCCGTCAGTAAATTTTGTAAGTTAAATAAATCAGATGTTGATAATCTCCTGTGCTTGAACATATCAAAAGTGTCACTTACAATTAATAAAAATGTAAACTTGCTATGTACATACGACATGCCACTAGCTGGCTCGCCGTATTATAACCATGTGGTCTCAAACTGTTGTATTGATCATCTTGAAGAGTTTTTGTTAGATAATCGGTCGCAGCTTAAAGATTCTATCAGTGTAGTCTGTGGAGATATGAATGCTCGTACTGGTCAATAAAACAATCCTCTGGTCGTTCAACAAAACGATTTTGCCCATAGTAACTGTCCATTCCCAGAAGCCATACCCGTGCTCTTGGGTTTCACTGAAGTGGTAAACGTCTGTGTCCTGCGTCACTTCGGGCTTTCCTCCCACATTAAGCTGACATGCCGTGATGTAACTGGAATACTGTAAAAAGCGGCGTTAAACCCAACTCACTCACTCACTCATCCATTCCCAGAAGATGAAAACGTATACGCTGGACATCGGAAATCCAATGACACTGTTATTAATTAATTTGGTCAGATGCTGCAAGATATGTTGTATACATTTCAGTTGTTCATTGTCAATGGCAGAGTGTATGGGGATACCCTTGTAGAATTTACCTATTGTGGAAACCAAAGTGCTAGCGTTAATGATTAGTTTATATGTTCTCCCGATTTCTTTCATTATATTAACATTTTGAATATTGACGATCGTCTAGAACCTCATCATTTACCTTTGGAATTGACTTGTAAGTGCCCTCATATGAATCAAACATAACAAATTAAAACATGAGGGTTTCACTGAGAAGAAACTAATATGGAATGACGAACATTCGAACAATTATCTGAGCAAGCTACAAGAAAGTATAACATATTTAAACATTGACTTCTAGATAAACTCTCGTCACGATATGGCTGAAATATTGCCGATGTGACGTAAAGCATTAACTCACTCACTTCTAGATAAACTTGATAATAATATTGAGGGGGCATTTGATGACATTGTTGAAATTATGTTAACTTCAGCATCTTTATGAGAACAGAATTAAAACTGAACATGGATAAAAATAAAACTTTTTTTACTGGATGTAGAATTGCAAGACGTAACGCCCGCAAAGCGCTACGAAGATTTAGAACTACTCGTACTAGTCTTGACAGAAAGCAATATTGCGAAAGTAGGAATAAATATAAACATTGCTGTCGGAAATGTAAATTTGATATGCGTAGACATAGACAAGACAAACTGAAAAAGTCTATTAACAAACCATCTGCGTTCTGGAAACAAATACGATCTCTCCAGAATAGATCTTCTACTAAAGATAACATAACAACATCGAGGTGGCTTTGTCATTTTAAAAAGGTTTTTTTTCAAATGATGCAATTGATGATATGCAAACTTGTTTTAAGTAATGCTACACGGATGGTGATGAAATTATGCTAGATTCACCCATTGTTGAAGACGAAATAATAGATTCGATAAATCACCACAAAAAGGGAAAAGCAGCTGGTCCTGCCTGATAATGTAGTTATCGAAATGTTGACGTGTTCTAAATTTCAAGTTATGCCTTTTCTTTGCAATTTTTTCCCCTGCAATTGGTCATGTTCTATAATAATCCCCCTGCATAAAAAAGCAGACAGGAGTGACCCAGATAACTATATAGGTATTTCATTAATGAGCATTTTAGGAAAAGTATTTACTGCAATATTAAACAAAAGAATTTCTAAATGGGCGAACATAAGTGATAAGATTCCTGAATTTCAAGCTGGCTTCAGAAAAAGTAATTCTACCTCAGATCATATATTTACACTTTATGCGCATATTCAAAACACCTTGTAACGGCGTAAACATAAATTGTATGTAGCATTTCTAGATTTCAAAAAGACTTTTGATTCTGTTAATCGCTTTAAGCTACGGACATGTCTACGAAAAGCTGGTTTACGTGGGAAAATTTTACTATTGTAAAATCAATGTATTCTAATGTGAGATCATGTGTTCGTTGCGGGGATGGTGTAACAGATTTCTTTGATTGTCCTTTGGGCCGAAGACAAGGCTGTATTTTGAGCCCGATCTTATTTTCATTTTTCATAAATGAATTATATTACGAAATAGCTGCCAGTGGTAAACAATGCATCCAAAAGTTTCCAGATTTGATAAAAAAAATTAATGCTACTTTTCGCAGACGATGTCATTTTAGTGTCAGATACTGTTGTAAATATTTCAATATTTTAAGTACATACACGAAAGAATGGTAATTATCAGTAAATTTGGAAAAAAACTAAAATTGGGTTCTTTTGAAAAGGTGGTCCAATAGCGTCGAAAGAAAGATGGTCATTCGATGGTCAGTTAGTCAATATAGTAGATCACTATTCATATTTAGGAATCTGGTTCTCACACACAATGAATTGAAAAAATGTATCCTTGACTTGTCCTGACGTGCAAAGATAGCTTCAATAAGTGTAATGTCTATAGCTCATAAAGTTGCAACGATGTTACCTAATATTTTCTTTAAGCTTTTTGATACCCAGATACAACCAATATTATTGTATGGTTCTGAAGTATGGAGATTTCAACGTTATGACTGTTAAGAGAAGGTTCACTTATTAGCATGTAAAAAGTTTCTTTGTGTCGGATCTTCTACACAAAATTGTATGGTTTAGGGTGTAGGTTGTAGGTACCCACTACATATTAACTGGTTACAAATCCGTCATATGCATGAACAACGTCTCTACATTTAGATAACATGGGAAAGAATACTTGGACATCGCACATAAGATATATTTTATTTTCACATGGTTTGGGTTTTACATGGCTATGTCAGTCAGTACAACGTAAGAAAACATTTCATTAAATATCGACTTGGTTTACTAGACCTATTTGTACATGAAGGAAGAAAACTGTCCATTGAAAAACTGAAAAGAATTTGTTTATTATGTAATCTAGAGACAGAAAATGAAATTCATTTTGTGATTGTCTGTCCATTTTACAATGATCTTCGAAAGAATCTTATGAAAGATTATTTAATAGCAATGTCACCGATAAACGCCTTTGTAGTTATTCTGACGACAAAGAACGAATCTAATATATTAAATCTTTCTCTATACATTAAGCATGCTTTAGCCAAAGAAATGAATTAATCATACAACATGTATATCCCAATGTAGCTCTCTCTTGTATATGGGCCGGAGGCCTTTTGTACAATAAACTTCTTTTGGCTTTTTGACCCGGGTCTTCAGCAACCCATGCTTGTCATAAGAAGAGACTATTCTTGTCGTACGACAACTATCGGGATCGGGTGGTCAGGCTCGCTGACTTGGTTGAAGCATGTCATCGTATCCCAATTGTATAGATCGATGCTCATGATGTCGTTCACTTGATGGTCTGGTCAAGTCTCGATTATTTACAGACCGCCGTCATAGAGCTGGAATATTACTGAGTGCGGTGTTAAACAAACAACCAAATTATACATGTCCGTGGCATGTCAGTAAAGTTATTATTCTCAAGAAGCGTCGGTTGACGGTTAATGTCAGCAAGTGCTTTAAATATTTAAATTTGTTTTATTAAAACAAGACATAACAAATCCCTCCTGCCACACAATTTTGAACAATTTAAAAGAAAATCTAATATTAAAAATTTATTGTGGCCTAGCTAATATACCTCCATGTACAATCCTCTTACCGCTCTTTAAAAGACATTTCGTAAACTATTACTAATTTATCACTTTAATTGTCTTTGATGTTCTGTTCTGGGGCGGTCGGGTAGCCTAATGGTTAAAGCGTTCGATCGTCACGCCGAAGACCCGGGGTCGATTCCCGACATGGGTACAATGTGTGAAGCCCATTTCTGGTGTCCCCCGCCGTAATATTGCCGGAATATTGCTAAAGGCGGTGTAAAACCTTACTCACTCACTCTGTTCTGTTCTGCCATTTTCCCATTAATCTGCAGCCTACAACATGCAGTCTGGCGACAATCAACAGACACTTCGACATACCGTTGTGTCTGAATTTAAGCTAAGTCACTTTCACCATAAGATGAGATAAGATAATATTTATTGCAGAAACATTCCATTACGGGACAGATACAAAACAGTATGAGTCATATATACATATATACATATATATACAGACATACATACATTCCTGGAGACACAAAAACCAATCAATATTACATATTTGATGATATTATCAGACATAAAAAGTCAACGGTTGATTAAGATCAAGGGGTATTTATTGCTTGAAATGATAGACATGGAAACAAATGCAATTGATATTGATGGCTTCATTATTTGACAGGATGTAGTGAAATAATTTGTTTTCATGACTGTGGACATTTACATTTTGTGTGGATAATTTTCCAACGAAGACAACGACAAAGTCCATATGGACTAACTTCAACACAATGTTCGAGAGATATCTTGTTTGAGGTGTATTGCGACCACCTCGGTCTTCCCTTTGAGAAAACCAGACACCACAAGTTCATTCAGGATACAAATACAAAGCATGGGCTAACAACACTTACCCCAGTGTCCCAGAATACCATGTTTGTGCCGACATGTTCTACGATATCTGCAATGGAAGTTTGAGCTCTCTGACCTACATCAATCGCTGTGTGCTATAAATAGCTAGTTGTCGTGGTAACGCTCGACATAGAGATATCGCCACGATTATCACGAGATCCCCAATGTTACAAACTGACAATCGTGCTGTGTGCATGTGTGGAAACTGTTACAGTTGTAAATTGACTTGGCGTCGCTACGGTCTGTATCAAGAGTCACAGATGCGAGTGTCTTAATTAACTATGACATTTGGCACAATACAACATGATGATAAGTGTATATCCAGTTATATTTCCAGACTGAACCACATAATAATTAGTCTGCTGAAGAATACATCTTGGAGACGACTTATTGAGATTGTAAATTAATGGTTCGATATTTTCTCAAAGTCAGTGTTTGCTTTCGTTACCGTATTTGACATATGATAAGAGCACACGTATGTCGTAGGTGGTGTGATCCATTAACTAGCTCAATAGATCTATAATTTACATTTTTCAAATACCAAATCATGTACTCTATATTACAGAGGCAGATGTTTTCAGTAAGCTGGTTTTTACGCCGCATTTAGCAATATTCCAGCAATATCACAGTAGGGAACACCAGGGCTTCACACACTGTACCCATTTTGGGAATCAAACCCGCTCCTTCGGCGTGACGAGCGAGCGAGCGAACGCTTTGAGTACTCGATTACCCAGTGCCCCGTATACCTTGAAAATTTTAATGATGAAATTTCTGATTTGTTAAAATATTTTGCGGGTGTTTCCGGTGCATATGACTCCAACAACATTACGTCTGGGCTCTGCTAAAACAAAAGAGGAAATGAAAAAAAGTCATGTATAGTCCTCGCCAATTGAAATAAAGCGCACTTTGCAACTTTTGTCATTAATGTAATATTCCTTATTGGCGGAATGGCTTATTTTCACTTTATAAGTATTAGCACACATGCAGCCATCTTCGTTAATTAGTCATCGCGATATTTCGTGATTCCATTTTCAGGACTATAGTTCGCCTTAACTTATTGCCAGGAGCATACAGAAGATCACAGACACTTTACGACTCAGAACAAAGTTACAGAACACACGATTTTTTTCATATTTCATATAGATCTACCTATAGTTAATGTGTCATGGCTGGTGCATATTGCAACACACAGCCTTCAAGTTGTGGGTGTCCTTTACTTGTTTTGAGTAGTATACATTGCACGTCATCGACCATACCATAAAGGGCGTCAAACATTGCAGCTCATACTATTCTCATGTCGAAAATGTACATTGGGGATCTCAAGTCAGAATTTGTGAATTCACTGCAGGTTTATTCAAAGACTTCTAAACCACATTTGGAAAAGATGACGAGTTTGGAAGAATAGGTACGAGTATGTGGACAGATTTCATTGTGAGCATTGAACATATTTCGCCAAATACATTAGGTTAACTCGTTTTATTTTTTCGTATTCATTAACTAGATTTATAAACCTCTATACTAAAATTAATACTTCAATACATATCTTATTATTTTTGAAGTGTTTAGATATTTCATGCTTTACGGAGTTACTAAATTCGTGTATGACTGCATGTTTGATATAATACAATTATTCCGCCTACTTTGCATTTGTCGTAGTTTTTAGCTAAATGGAAAATGTATTTTTTACATTTTCCACAACTTTTTGTTTAAAAACTACTGAGCAAGTTATTTTTTAATGACACATTTATACCGTTCTTTTTTCATTTCATCTTTTACACTTTCACGCACTTTGCAACTTCCGGTTCCATGTCCCCCAATCTAGTGCGACCTCATCTGGGGGGCTAAGTACGCTGCTACTGCCCTCTTTTTCCATGACAATTCACACTACACTGATATGAGATAGTAAAAGTGTTGTTACGTTAATTCTAAGGGTTGTTTAAAGTTTTTTTATATTTATTTATGTTGAAGTACTGCACTACCGGATGACCCTGATTCGGTTTTCGTGTGCACGTGCAGTGAAGCATTGATGTCTGGCATCTTGCAGTTTTTCAGTATGCCTTCTACACGGATATTGATGAACGAGAGGAAACATATATTCAACTGTTTAATGAAACACAGGCTGTTTGTACCTGCCTCTGGTTACAAGATCGACAACAATGCATTACTATCTGCAACGCGGCGTCAATGTCTGAGACCTCTCCACAGCCAGATTTCACTGACCGCCGGTCAAAGATGGGGCGTGTCCAAATTTCTGACCCCTTCAGTTTCTTTAAGTAATGGTCTTAGAGGATATGCAAAGAAGAAAAGTAAAAACAAGGTAAGTTTTGTATGTAGATTTGACTCACAAATTATTGTACTTGAAATATACTTATTATGGATATGAGTTAGACGATGTAAGATCTATGTAAGCCTACAGCTAGGTTATATTATAGTTATATGACAGGGTCCTTCTAATAACTACCCTAGAGAACAGTGGCATCATGAACCAGGTGATAGCATGAATGAATGATTGAAGGTTGTTTTATGCCACACTCAGCAATTTACCAGTTTACCAGTGGGCTTTTTTTAATCAAGGCATGGTCAGTCTGACTAGTGGTTATAGCATGACTAGCATGATTTATGACTCATTATGTTATGTCCCATCTAGGCTGATAGCTCAAGTGACAGTGACAGTGATGAGGAAGAGGATAGTGAGGATGAGGATGAGGATGATGATGACATCACTGATGATGGTGGATCTGTGATGAAACTCCATGTCCGCTCTCTCCGAACTGACAGCATTCTCAGTAAAGGAATGAACACAGGACGCGAGTTAGTCACCATATTTAGGCCTTCAGGATTTGATTGACAGGGCCCATAACGTTTTAAAACATGAATCTTTTTATGAAAAAGGGGGCCCTACACAAAAATAGCCAACAAAGTTTAATGTTTGAATTTAGGAAAGTTACATGTACATTCCATCATCATGTTTATTTTTGTGTGTTTTTCAACATGACATGATGCAGTTCAGCCTTGTGATATGTGTGTTCCCTTTGAGTTTGGTTTAATTTTGACTTAGGTTCAGAGTAAATGTCAGATTTGCCCTACTCTCACAGTCTTGCTATCTGATGCAATTTTCTGTGAAAGAATTCTCTGAGGTAGTGGGGGATGTGGGTGTAGCCTCGTGGTTAAAACATGAATCTTTTTGTTATCACGCTGAAGACCTGGGTTCGATTCCCCACATAGGTACAATGTGTGAAGCCCATTTCTTATGTCCCCAGTTTTACAGCCAATCAGTCATCACATACATGACAACCAATATAATATATTAACCAATCGTTTGGCTCCTTTCAAATAAACTTCAGTAAGGCGACTGTGCAGTGATAAGAGAAATCTCTTATAATGTCTGGCATAGTCTCGAATGAACATTGCTCACGCTTTTCATTTTACTGTTTACAGATATTTTGCCATGAGTTTGGTTAATGAACTGAAAAGTTAGAACTAGCTGTATTACGATCCTGTAAATATTAAGTGCATTGTGGAACTCTTAGCCATGATTTGAGTATTGTTTCATGGGGTCATGTGTCATTACAAATTGATACAAGTATATTTTAGGGTAACATGTGAAATTATATGAATATTAATGTAAAATATTGTTTCCTGCCGTTATATACAAGATATCTCATTCCATTTAGCCTGTCTCACTGCTGTGATATACAATGCTAAAGCCAACTCACACACACTTTCATTTCTTAGTAAAAATATAAATGTGAGTCTTATTTTTTTCAGATTTTATTTTGCACACTGTTATGGTTAAGATATGCATTGCAATATAGTCACTCATCCCTAATCCTAGTACACAAAACTTTGTCTATTTTGCTTCTATGTAGTCACAAACTCCCAATTACCCTTGAATAGAAGGGTCCATGGCCATTTGTTTAAATCATTTTTTTGGAGTTGAAATCTGTAGGATATTTAATATTATAACAAAGTTACATGCAGTTAAATAAGTTCACTCACTGTACTCGGCTGCACTTCCCTCGCCAATTTTTGACAACTTTGTTGTTGGATGTTGCTATGGTCAAAACAGATGAAGTACCAGTAATACACATAATATACAGGAAACTGGTCACAAATAGTTTCGCTCTTGCAATCACAGGATACAGTTTCAAATATCATAATTTCAATTCGACTTGTCCGTTGTTGTCACTTGTGCAAAATGCCAAAAAGATAAAGATGTGCATGATTTTGAAAAATGCAATATACTGGTATTTTCCAAACGTATTGTGATATGTATTCATTAGTATTTCATGTCATGGTATACTGATAATACCATGCACCTCTATTGAGTGCAATTATCATTGTCTTTCCAGAAAAATTGATAAGCTGTTTCTTGCTAATCGACTTAGACTAAATGGCAATGTGCTTCTGAAGAAAAGTAAACAGGTATGTACAGTTGGATGTAACGTAGGCACAATTTTTTAGTGGCCAATATGCATGTTTGTAGTCTTCGAGCGCGAGTAAAGTCAACATAGCAACTTTGCAGAAATTTATACTTTAAGGGATATGTAATCACATATGGTTGACCAAAATTAAATTTGAAAAAGGGAACATACCGTAAAAATGACGATGAAAAATGACAGGCAAGATCGTCCCCTAAACGAAAGAATCTAGCACTGAGGGCATCCCTTTAGTGGAGGTTAAAATGGGTTACAGGTGTTTGAGAAGCTGCACAGTTTCAACGATCGGGCCGGCACCCAGTCTGTCTGATGGTTTATGTGGTGTCTTCCTATTTGTCCAGCACTTACTGTTATGGATCTGTGAAGATCCGGGGTAGAATAGGTCTTCAGCAACCCATGCTTGCCATAAAAGGTGACTATGCTTGTCATAAGAGGCGACTAACAGGATCGAGTGGTCAGGCTCGCTGACTTTGTTGATGCATGTCATTGTATCCAAATTGTGTGGATCGATGCTCGTGATGACAATCACTGGATTGTCTGGTCGAGGCTCGATTATTTACAGACCGCCGTCATAATGCTGTGATATTGCTGAGTGCGGCATTAAACAACAAACCAATGAAGTTACTATTATGGGTACAAGTTCACCTGAGCGTGAGCGGGGAGGCACGGGTGCATGCCAGAAACCTATGATTGTCCTGGTTCGCCCTGATTATATTTCTAGGTTTGTCAGCACCATACCCGTGCTTGTGGGTTTCACCGAAGTGGTAAACATCGGACACCTGCATCACTTCGGACTCTCCTCCCACATTAAGCTAACACGCCGTGATATGACTGGAATACTGTTAGAAGCGACGTTAAACACAACTCACTCACTCACCTGAGCGTGGTGATGGATAAGACAATCGTGAATAAGGGGCTCATCTTACATAAGACAAGTAATTGGTGAAGATCTCACAAAATATAACGACAAAACTAATTGTTGACTCTATTCACATACACTCTACTGAGTGAAAACTTTTAAAATATAGATCACTGAGTGAATGAGTGAACATTTTAATCCTTTGGTACGTTATTACGGGGCGTGGGGTAGCCTAGTGGTTAAAGCATTTGCTCGCCATGCTGAAGTTCCAGGTTTGATTCCCTACATAGGTTCAATGTGTGAAGCCTGTTTCTGGTGTCCCCAGCTGTCATACTGCTGGAATATTGCTAAAAGTGGCATACAACCATACTCACTAACTCACTCTGCAGAGCACAAACATTTTTTGACACTGCCTCTCATAACATTTGGCAGCCTGGTGATTAGTGGGACATGATTTTGAAACAAAATCAGTAAAACTTATGTTGAAAGAAATAAAATTTGTCTAACCGACCAAATTTTTCATTAAGCCCACTACCAGCATCAAAAAGTTTGTTCTCACAGATGTTTGATTTCTTTTCAGTTAGTTGAAGGAGACTATGTGGATATGATCATACAGAATGCAGAAGATGAAACGAAAGTGAAGAGATTGAAGGTGCTCAAGATTCTGGGTGAAAAGACTCGCACCGACAAGCATGCGGTTAAAGTTCAAGTGTGGAGGAAGGCATTTGATCCTACAGATGATGGGCAGTCCCATTAGAGGAAGGGGAGTGCCTGAGGATGAACGAGTGGTATACACCAGGGAATAAAAGGACTCTTGTTCCCTTTAAAATTGTGACTGTGACTTCAGCTTGCATTTAGGACTGGCCACTTGCATCTTGGACTGGCCACATGCATCTAGGACAGGCCACATGCATCTAGGACTGGCCACTTGCATCTGGGACTGGCTACTTGCATCTAGGACTGGCCACTTGCATCTAGGACCGACCACTCGCATCTAGGACTGGCCACTTGCATCTAGGACTGGCTACTTGCATCTAGGACTGGCCACTTGCATCTAGGACAGGCCACATGCATCTAGGACTGGCCACTTGCATCTAGGACTGGCCATTTGCATCTAGGACCGGCCACTTGCATCTAGGACCGACCACTCGCATCTAGGACTGGCCACTTGCATCTAGGACTGGCCACTTGCATCTAGGACTAGCCACTTGCATCTAGGACTGACCTCTTGCAACTAGGACTGACCTCTTGCATCTAGGACTGCCCTCTTGCATCTAGGACTGATCTCTTGCATCTAGGAGTGACCACTTGCATCTGATTGGCCACTTGCATGTGGGGCTGACCTCTTGCAGCTAGGACTGACTTCTTGATCTAGGACCGTCACAGGACCCATTGTTGCCACACTGCCTCAACTGTGATGAGGGCACAATTTACCAATTAGACCGAAGCCTGGGGGATCCTCCAAAGTTTTCTTAAAGAGAACTCGTTTTGAGATTTCATATTAGGGGCATTTTGAAAACTATGGAATTTGTCAGCATATCAGTTCACTTGTGTAAGTGGTGTGTTTGTTTGTTGTATGATATCAGGATGTTTTGCATGTGGTTTGACCCTGTCTGCATGTTCTTTTAAGTCAATTTGGGAGCTATTGTTGCAGTGTACCTTTACTACTAATCTTACGCACATTAAATCATGTGTTATGGGCATTTACAGTGCTTATTTGAATTTATTGCAGTATTATGCAAGGAATTGATATTCGATATATTTTATATGTACCTATAATAATAAAAAATATTCACTGTCCATGGTGTTAAGTTGTTGTTTTTCAAATGTATGACACTGTTGAGAACATCTTGTGTATGTGTACAGTGGCCTGATTGTTTTGATGGATGTAGGCGTACCATATTTCCTTTGATAAGTGTCAAGTAGGGCTGGTACGGGTAACTTGGCTACTCGGGTCGGGTGGGTACTGAGTAGGCCCCGGTTAACCACAGGACTACCCGGACCCGTGGTTAGTCATGTGATATATTGTTTAATGACAAAAATGATCTACAACTATATGGTTACACTACAAGTCACTGATGTTCGCATTTCTTTCTGACTATGCACCCATTCCTTCTGACTTTTATGTTTGAATAAAGATAAAACTTCAGTCAACTTCTGTGTATGCGTGACCAGATCGTTTTATACGTATATCTTTATATATTTTTCAACAGCTACGGTCAAACTATCCCCAGTCAGACATTTCATACCCAACTCTTGAGACCTGCAGCGGGTACCCGGGTAGGGTCGGGTAATAGGGGGCATGGGTACCCGGGTAGTATATTTGGACTCATCCCAGCCCTAGTGTCAAGGGTTCATTTGTTTCAGCCAGCAGGTAGTTCAGGTGGTGAATAAAACGCCTGGCAGTAAATAGTAGCCAAGCGCTATAATTTCAAGATTATTGTGCCAATAAATTATTCTTGGGTTTTCATTCGTGCCACAGAAAAGATGGGAGACGTTTGATGTTCAGTACACAGCAATCACTGTGAACCCATATTTCGAGCAGTTATATAAGACTGGTCCCTCATAAGAGTCCGGCGCTTAAACAGGTCATATGGTATTTTCAACAGCTTGTAAAATGGATTCTCTCTCCTAAGTGAAGACCGCCTCCGTCATCTAGTGGATAGAGCATCTGCCTGGAGAGTGGAAGGTTGTGGCTTCGATCCCGGGCTGCGTCATACCAAAAGATGCTAAAAGATGGTACTTGGTGTTACCCTGTCTTGTGCCTGATATAGGGGAACAAAACAAGGACTGGTAGGCTCAGAGTCAGTATACTGTGTCTGAGTTAGGTATTCATTTTAAATTGCAACATGGTATCTCAGTGGGCTAGCATTAGTCCGGACTAGTACAAGTACACGTACGTTGCTATATTTGTGTAACGATCTTGAACCCTCTTGTCCCCAAAATAATCTGTATTTTATAGCTTCTTGCCAGAATTAATCCAGGGCAGAATAGGTCCTCAGTAGCATGTGCTTACAAAAGGTGAGGTGAAATGAGGATTAATGTCGCGTTTGAGATTATTGCACTTATAGGCCCCGAGATACCATGTCGCAGTTTAACATGGATGCCTCACTCAGACACAGTATACTGACTCCAAGCCGACCAGTCCTTGTTGTATGTGGGATTGAACCACAGACCAGATGCTCTTTGGGCAGATGCTCTATCCACGAGACCACAGAGGTGGTTGCTCACTAAAGAGCGTGAGTGGTAACAATATGACTTTGTGTATCATCATGTTTTAACAACCAGAAGTTTCTCATGCTTTAGACACTGGTTCACTGGCACAACACAATTATTTACAGTCCATGTAACTGAGCTGCCAATTATGACATCACTCACTCAGTTTAATAAGACCTTTATTACCCATAGTTAATAAAAGGTGTATGTGCACTAGCGCAAATATTTCTTCAAGCACAGTGTATATTTTACGTGCTCCAGACAGCATTGTTGACGTCATATGAATCCTGTCGTGACGTAAGGTTGGAATAACATAACACCAGAAACTATGTCAAAGCTGAAGTTTGTCGACGTCATTCAACAATTGTGTTTTTTTTAAGACAGTGATCATGATCAGTGCAGTTTTCTAAAGGGAGCTCAAAAGCATTAGGAAATAATGGGTAATAAAGAAATTATTACACTTGCATGTGTGTCATACTGATTTTAGGGAACTTGTGTCAGTTTTAATCTATTACCCATGGTCTCACTCTGGGAAATACAAGAATTCTGACACTCATTTTGTAAAATCAGTTTGACACACATGCTCGTAAAATAATCTCTATTAAACTGTATTCAAACACCATAACAAATAATGAGAGTATGTAAATAGACTTTAATAATAATAGGATTAGTAGTAAAATCAATAGTAACTCAGTCTTTTTAGAACAAATGTAACAAACAGCTTGTTCTGAATGCAAAAAGAGCATTCTGAATATTAATAAATATATACACGACATTAAATAAAAGTTGTTGATGTTTAGTTACCCTTGGTTCCATGTACAATGGGACTTTACAAATATGGAAAGTATCATTTCAGACTTTAGCAACTGACAATAAAATCTTGACATAAGTGGTCATCTATCCAGAAACCTGATGTGTACACTTTGCTTCTATGCATGTCACAAACACCCTACTACCCTTGAATACAGGGGTCCAGGCCCATTTGTTTAAATCATTTGGTTGAATTTGAAACTGTTGGATATTTATTATGATCACTTGACAGAGGGGTACACAAAGTACGTGATCTAGACTACCAGTTGTCGGACTTTCATTTATGTGGAAGCTTCAGTGGCTGAGTGCGTTAGATCGCTGACTTTGTGTGCTGGCGATTAGCTGCCTCACTCTGGCAGTGTGGGTTCGATTCCTGGACGAGAATATGTACTTTACAAAGAAAATGTTATCCCAAATGTAACATTTCTTATATCACAAGATAGTTACATCTCACGTTACATCACGCAGCAAAATAAGTTATCTTATTGTGTCTACTTGGCTGACATAATTACAGCCGATTTCAGATCCTTCCATTAGTATTTAGTTCTCAAAAGTAGAAAAATAGTGAAAATATTTGTGTAGTTCCACCCTTCATAAAAAGAAATAACATACTGAGAGAAGAAATATGTCATATCTCTCATAAAAATCAAAGCCTCCCCCCCCCACACACACAGAACATTAAGTGGTCTTGGCACTTGCAATGGCTGCATGTGTAATGATTTGAAGATGACGAGAGTGGGCTCAGATCTACAACTGCGGACATTTGCAACAGGAACAGGTACAGGAAGTGTCACTTTCTTTACATTTCTTGAGTATTATGTCACGATTACAAAATAACTTAATATTCCAGAAAATGGTTGGAAGTACACAAAAGATGAACAAGTGACATGGAGATGTACAGCAGAATGTGTATCGACTTTGCAAGATGGTCTAATTGTTAAAAACAAAACGAAAACACTGGTGAGAAGTTGCTTACCCTTGGTATTAAAGGACTCAAATCCATTCAAGAGGTAGTAGGGTTCTGACCCTTGATCCTCTGCTGAAAAGTATATATATATAGTTTTGACAAGGATTTAAATGTGGAAATACTGATTGGTGACAAGTGATTGCTATACATGCTTAGGGCTGTGAGTAATGTTGGTGATGAACTTCCTCAGAGTAATTTTATAAGAAAATAATTTTTGAGGTTGTGCTAAGCCACAGTGAAGGGGTGTTGTACAAAACTGTATAAGCATAGTATTTGTTTCAGAAAGTATTTATTTTCAGTTAAATTCCAGGTCACCCTCCAAACGTTTAAATGTACATGGTGACCACTTCACCATTATTCTCAAAGAGACCTACACTATCAAATCATACAACAGCTCAAAACAGACCCTGAGTCAGCTCAGAGCACGGCCAGACGCCGGTCCATTGAACTAAAATGGATATTTGATCTGAAAACCATCCATCCGCAAGGCATGAATGACAAGATCTAATCCTGGAATTCCCAAACCCACTCACCTATATTCCATTATTCTCAAAGGTCAACATTTCAGGACAACGACAGTTATTTGAAATTTCCCAAAAGATTTTTTCACTTGGCTTACAGGTGTACTGATCCTAAATTTCACACTTGTGAAATAAAAAGAGTACAGTCCTCCTTCCTACTGTCTATTAAAGATAATTTCAATTATGAAAGTCATCACAGAAAGAGAAGTAACTCTTTTGTATTTCATCAAATAAAATACATTTTTTTATTTCTTCTATATTTCACCCAAATGACAATTAAAGGACATCAATTAAAAAGTGTTCCCAACATTTCACTTTTATTTCTGCCACTATTGCTTTTTGAACAAACCTATAATCTATCAGATTTAGGCCTTAGACATATCAAGAATTTACTGACCATGATGAATTAAAGTCAACATATTGAAAGGAATAAGTTGCACACTCAGAATATCCACCCACAATATCAGCAGTTTACAAATTGTGTGTATCCACATTTGAATCAAATCCACTAAAAGTAGAAACCTCTAAACACTGCTATAATACCCTTTTAACCTAAATGCCTAAGACGTGCAATGTGTGACACAGGTACTGGCACTTGATTACAGACATCTATGAATACATACTGCATAATGAGGATTTCTTATCACACTTGAAAATGCACAATAAACAAACACAACCTTTATCACTGGTTTATGTTATAAATGTACAAATACATGCAAGTAAAATCTGAGCAAATGTGACCACTGGTTATTAAATACCTCCAGTAAAAGCGTCAGTTTCATCTATTATACAAAATACACAAATTATTTACAGATGAAAACATCCAGATACATATAAACAGGCCCAAACTTCCTCAATCAGCAGTTACTGAACCTCGTCAGAAAAGGATCTTTATTCAACTGTCGGTGCAACCTTCTGTTAAACCATTAAAACCAGTGCCGTAGCCAGCCGGGGGGCAGGGGGGGCGCTTGCCCCCCTCGATTTTTCATAGAAAACAGTTTTATTTGAATCAAGTTGGGGACAAGTGATACTTTTACAAATATTTGCCCCCCCTGTCAAAAAAAGTTAACTACGGCCTTGAAAACCTTTAAACATTTGGAATATTCTTTTTTTTTAAATGGAAATAAAAATCGAAACGGGCAGGCGGTGCCTGAGAACCAAGATTATTTTTTTTTTTAGCTTAAGACTTACTTTGCTATTGTAATGGATGGACATGAGTCACCTGCTGGGATTCGAAACCACTGATTTTAACCCATGCCTTGTTCACCTGACCAAGCTGACGGTAAGGGATTTGTTGGATGACTCCACACCCTGTTCCATTTCTGGATATAATAGAAAGTATATATTGCTACCATCAGACTGTGGCTTGTGAATAATCAAGTCTGGACCAGACAAATGATATAGTAGTGATTGATATTGTAAACAACAAGCCACGCCATCTGGGTACGATGACACGCTACCAACAAAGTCACCAGTCTGACCAGCTGATCCATTTAGTTGCCTTATGACCAGCATAGGTTGCAGGGGACTTACTCTTCCCCAGAATCGTTTATAATTCAAATGGGTCCTTTTGCCATATTTTGCAAGGCAATGAATTAATGCGTCCCTGAATTGTTTCCCATGACATACCCGGTAACCACATGGTCCCTGTGAACATTAAAGGAGGTCAACACTTCACCTTCCAAAGAACAATTTCATCAACTCCATGCCAAAAAAAATTCCTGAGCTACAGACTTGACAGCCTGAAACGAACATTTTAAATGTATTTTCATGAATCATACAAATGCTCACTGAATTACTTAATCTTGAGAAGAACCAAGGTATTATAATTCAATTTTCATACTGAGAGATAGCATTCATAGAGGTACGATACCTGAATATTGACTATTTACAACTGAACACAGGTGCCAGCCAGTTGACAGGTAAACAGCACTGACATACATGAACAAACAAAATCAGCTTATGGGTAAATAGTATATGAGCACATATAAACATATACAAGTAATCAATATTAACCCCAGAAACATGTAAGTAGTTCGGGGGCACGTCAATACACATGAATGTAATACATGAGAGCAGTCCAAGGGTTAATCATATTTGACACCACTACCAGTTTTATCAAATCAGCTGACTGTTTTCACCTGTTGAAATACAAATAGATTTCTGAGCAGCTGTTTGTATGAATGTACACTTACACTTTGATTCGTTTGCTTTCCCGACTTATCACAAGAAATCCCTTGCAAATCCCACCTACAGTTTATCACTGGTTTCCTAATCATTACTAATGGCAAGCAGTGACATTCCACAGTATATTGCTTCTCATATCTTACAGGGGATCCCACAGAATGTTGCGTTTCCTTATGATACCAGTCACGTGCAGTGACAGCCACACATCCCATATCATTAGCACACTTGAGAAATAGCCGGTATGGGAACCTTACAGGTGACACTGCATCGCCAGAAATAACCTCCATGAATCAACATGATGGGTATGTACAATTCTTGATTCCAGAGTCCACATGTCCACTGGTTGCTTCCTCACGCTCATATAACGTCGCTATATGGCTGAAATAATGCCGATGCGACGTTAAATTTTAACTCACTCACTCACACACTCATACTGTAACATGTAATCAACACAAATCTAAAGAAAGATGCATTATGAGATCTATACTAACACTTCAACACAGGTGGGATTCTCATATTAAAGTACATGTATATACAACAAAATGTTCAAAGTATAACATTGATCAGATCTGCACAGCAGTAATATGTTCAGACTTTTCCAAACTGTCAATAAATGTTAATGCTGTTCAACATTTAAATCTGGCTTTAATATGGGGTAGATTATTTCCATCCAATACACAAACTGTTCCAACAATGATATGTGTGGCATCTATCCACGTTTTCAAAACTGACGATAATCAAGGGAGATAATCCGACAAAAGGAGATAATTCAACAAAGGGGGACAATCCTGCTGTCTAGGAAAGAGTGTTCTCAATCGTCTGCTGGTCTAGTTCATCCTCGTCCTCCTGGTAATCCTCCTCCTGCCAGTTGATGTTCTCAGACTGCGTCACGATGGCTCGCAACATGCTCTCAATCCGAGAGTTCTGTTCTCGAAGCTCCTTCACTATTCTCTTCATCTTCTTCATGTCTCCTTGCAGTTTCTCCTGACTCTCCTGGACCTTCTCAATCTCATCCTGGAGGAGGAACAGTCATCATGTCATCAACTGACATTTTTTTAACATGTCTTCATATTTATATTTTGTATTCAGTGAATCTACCAAAAGAATCTGATTTTTATTCTTATCCTTATAAAATGGTATGTAATAGGAAGTCCAATTAAGTTGTATCACAAAAGTTGTTCTTAAACACCTCATGTAAATCAGGTTACAGTTGGTTTTCTTAAGAAAAATTGATTCGTCTGTCTGTATCATTTTCCAGTCACTGAAATGAAATGCAAGGAGGCCTCTGAACCTACTTTACTCTTCAGGGAAACATGACAGCTCTCTCTCTACTCACCAGCTCTGGATTCAGAGCCTTCTGTATGGCCTGAGCAGACATGGAAGACTGGTAGTTCAACAGCCTCCGAATGGGGTTACTTAGCCACATGTTCGGTTTGAACGTTTTTCTTCGGATGTACGACTTCCGCCTAATGAAGTCTGGCAGGATTCTCTCGACGTCCAATGCCAAGTCAACCTAGAGAAGCATACAGGATCAGTTGTATTATATCCATCTGACAGACCATGATGACTTCTTCAAGTGTGTACAAGGCATGGCCATTCTGTTTCATATTGCAATACACAGATACATATAATAATTCAGTTTACCTTATCTGAATCATATAAAGACACAACATAACTGCTATGAATCAAACAGGATACATTTGTCACCATCCTATTTTCAAATGTGGTGTACTGAAGATTGTATTAGAGTTGATACTTCATATTGAAAAAAACCCAAAACAATTGAATTGTAACTATGCTGCAGCCTTTGATGCTCTCATAAAATCCCCCATCCCCTCATCTCTTAAAACTAGCAAAATTAACAAACATTGAAAAATAAAAAAGCATAGACACGGCCACTAGTTCGTTAGTCCGAGACTAGTAAGAATCTCGACTTGTTTTTGTAACCCAAAGACATAGTTATTTGACATAACCAACGGTGAGCTGCGGAGAAGTTGGATATGACTAATGGTATCTACCCCCAGTTCACTTGACTGCTGATCTACGTCACCTACCTGCATAGCCATTCTCTTCAGAGCAGCCTGGTCCTGCACAGCCTTGATGTCATCTACAGCCAAACCAACCTGGGAGGGACAGGCAGACATGTCACGGTATAGATATGTGTGTTAATCTTGTTTACTTCACTGAGTTGTCTGACTTGACTGTCAACAAATATTTTCAAGCCAAGAGTTAAAATATCTGCTTTGCCATATCACAAGATGACATAAACAGTTATTTAACAAGATTAACCAAATTTAAACCAGAGAATGCTTATATTCTCTAACGAGGAGTTTCTCAGCCATAATGTATGTTCTCTTTAGTGCCATCAAGCTTATTGTCTCAGGATGAAATGGTGATTTAACTGAATCATTGAAAATTGTTATTCACATTTGTTATTTTATTAATGAAACTAACATTCTCATTTCTCTTGAAAACTTTAGCATTGACTGTCTTTAGCATTGAAGTTTGGAACAAATGCATTTATCTTACAAACAAGGTTAGGGTGAATGAGTGTCTTCATATTTCAAAAAGATTTTTAAAAAGCCTAATACTTAAAAACAATGTGATTCAACATAGCCCACAGATACTTCCCTTTACATGCGCACTGCTTTACTGTACTTCTTGTGTTATTGTAATTGTGGCAATAGCAGCTTGTATGCTTGTTTTTGTAGGGAGGCCAGGTTGATAGTACAAAACTGTTTATTTGGTTACATACTCGTTTGAACAAGCAAAAAAAACACACTGCCCACACTATTTGCAAAAGTCATTGCCTGAGAACCAATTCTTTTATTTTTTTTAAGCCTTAGCTTTAAGTTTTTTAGATTAGTTGCAGAGAAATGTATTCCAGGTGCCTGATGCCTGTCTCTAGGCATTTCAGTGTCACAGTTAAGTAAAGATAATAGCAATGTTTAAAGTATTCCAGAACAAAGTGCAAAGTTTCACTTGGCCCGACAAATTATATTTCTCGATTTACATGGTTGGAAGGCACAAAAAAAAGTAAAAAGTAAAATGAGATATTTCAGATATCTGAATTTTGTGCCACTGGTGCAGCATTCACAAATTCACACATAAGTCCTGCCAAGGCTAAAATGAATAATAGCCTTGGTTCTCAGGCACCGCCCACATCATCATAAAATCTGATGCACATTTTGTTTTTATTTCCATTTAAAAAAAACCCCAATATCTTTAAATATTCCGTGTCTTGAACACACGACCCTGCCAGTTAAATGCTACAATACTTAAGAACAACATGATTTCCCCAAAATTATTGTAAACAACATTTGGTTACATACTAGCTTCAACAACAACAACAAAAATAACCACCGCCCGCCTGCACAAAAATTTCAAAAGCCACATTGTCTGAGAAACAATTCTATTATCTTTTTAAGCCCAATAAAAGTGACCATCTAAGTTTCTTTTGGGTTTTATAAAATTTAGAATTCTACTTAACAGTTTTAGTGTTGGTGGATCTGTAAAGCATTTCTTTTCAAAATGATCTCCTTAGTCCATGCATGTTCTATTTCCAACAAAATGATCCCCTTTGTCCATACATGTTCTATTTCCATCAAAATGATCCCCTAAGTTCATACATGTTCTATTTCCATCAAAATGATCCCCTTAGTCCATACATGTTCTATTTCCATCAAAATGATCCCCTCAGTCCATACATGTTCTATTTCCATCAAAATGATCCCCTAAGTTAATACATGTTCTATTTCCATCAAAATGATCTCCTTTGTCCATGCATGTTCTATTTCCATCAAAATGATCTCCTTTGTCCATGCATGTTCTATTTCCATCAAAATGATCTCCTTTGTCCATACATGTTCTATTTCCATCAAAATGATCTCCTTTGTCCATACATGTTCTATTTCCATCAAAATGATCTCCTTAGACCATACATGTTCTATTTCCATCAAAATGATCTCCTTAGACCATACATGTTCTATTTCCATCAAAATGATCTCCTTAGACCATACATGTTCTATTTCCATCAAAATGTATCTCCTTAGACCATACATGTTCTATTTCCATCAAAATGTATCTCCTGAGACCATACATGTTCTATTTCCATCAAAATGATCTCCTTAGACCATACATGTCCTATTTCCATCAAAATGTATCTCCTTAGTCCATACATGTTCAATTTCCATGAAAATGCGCAATGATGATACCATTAATAAACAACAACCCATGCTTGTAGTAAAAGGTGACTATGCTTGTCGTAAGAGGCAACTAACAAGATCGAGCGGTCAGGCCTGCTGACTTGGTTGATTCATGTCATTGTATCCCAATTGTGTGGATCAATGTTCATGATGTCAATCCATGGATTGTCTGGTCCAGACTGGAATTATTTACAGACTGCCGTCATATAGCGGAAATATTGCTGAGTGCGGCGTTAAACAACAAACAAACAAAAACAAACAACAACCATCTAAAGAAATCATGGTTACTCACGAGCAAGTTCATGACAATGATTGACATGAGGATGAGGAAGATAACAAAGAGAAGATAAGAAACTTCAGGAAAGTGGACTTTATCCCGGTCGTCTACTGGTGATGCCTTAAATTGCTCATTGAATATGGCATCAAACTCAAACTCGCCAATCATCATGACTCCTGTTTTGATCATTGCACTCGGGACATTTTTGAACGCAACCTGAAACGACAATACACATCATTAAGTCATGGTACTTTAATAATACATAGGGGATATTTGTATTTTCTTGTCAAGACACGTTCATCATGCTCATATCAACATGATAGGTCACTTGATGAAATAAGCAAGAAAAGACAAATGTTCTTTTTCATACCAACCTGTGGGTGAGAAACCCATTTGAGATAATTGGTATTTACCATATATGTGAGTTCGAATTCCAGGTACGTGATTGGTTGGTCCATGGTGATGACCTAAGGTCAGATGATGACAGACTACTTTCCTGATTCTAATTCATTAATGTTACTAGTGCTTCGGTTGAATTCACCTATGCCAGCATAGAAACTTTCTCGATTCAGAGGGTTAATAAATATTGTTTGGTCTTGTCTAGTTTACACTATTATCATCACCTTGGTAATCCACATATATGGCGAAAACTATTTTTGTAGAGGGTCACAGCAGGTATGGGTAGTAAGCTGTAGACTGGATGACGTCACAAATGATCATTGTGTCATGTATTAAGGCACTACTGTGATCATAAGAATAGACAAAATATGGATCAATTTCATGCTAAAATGGTATGATTTTAGGGTGTGTAAATAACAGATTACCGCACTCATGCCTGTCAGATACCATTCATCTTACAACTCATTTTAAGATGCATGGTATCTGAGAGACACTCGTGTAGTAATCTCTATTTATCATATATCTTCTTACTGACCTCCATGTTCTGTAAAAATCATAGTGTCTGAAGACTGAGTATCATGCCAGCATGAAATGTTATTTCACTTTCAAGAATGTTATTCATCACTACTTTCTCCAAAACAGATAACAATAAAGGGCAGAGTCGATAATTTGCCAACCTGGTTTCGGAACAAGGTGAAGAAGCCGAGTGAGAAGGCGACGATGAAGAGGAAGAAGACGACAAAGAACTGAGCGACGGTGGTGAGGATCTCTGTGAACATGACGACGTAGATTCCAAACCTGGGGAACTTCTGGATGAACAGCACCAGCACCATCCATGCCAGGAACACAGACACAGCCCCCAAGGACCACTGCCAGTTCTGGGAAACAAACATCTCATGTTATATATAAAAGAAATTTGAAGTCAAGTTTCAGAATACATATGCTTGTTACATATCTCATTACATTTGCCACATTATGTGGAGGTAAACACATTTCTATTCGCTAAAAAAAGTGAATTCCTCACCCAAATAATCTGCCTTCCAGGCTATTGATGCCGGGAACGTCTACATTATTTACACAGAATGGTTAACTGAAAACAGTACCATCTCGATTAACAGAGTGCGTGAGTGGGTGAGTGGGTGATTGGGTGAGTGGGTGAGTGAGTGAGTGAGTGAGTGAGTGAGTGAGTGAGTGAGTGAATGAGTGCCGGGAACGTCCACATTATTTACACAGAATGGTTAACTGAAAACAGTACCATCTGGATTAACAGAGTGCGTGCGTGCGTGCGTGCGTGCGTGCGTGCGTGCGTGCGTGCGTGCGTGCGTGCGTGAGTGAGTGAGTGAGTGAGTGAGTGAGTGAGTGAGTGAGTGAGTGAGTGAGTGAGTGAGTGAGTGAGTGAGTGAGTGAGTGAGTGAGTGAGTGAGTGAGTGAGTGAGTGAGCGAGCTTTTATGCCGCTTTCAGCAATATTCCAGCAATATCACGGTGGGGGACACCAGAAATGGGCTTCACACTTTGTACTCATGTTGGAAATCGAACCCGGGTCTTGACAAGCAACGCTTTAACCACTAGGTAACCCGACCGCCCCTGGATTAACAGAGTTTCACTGTAACAGTAAATACTGTAAATTATGAAATTAAATCTATATAATAGGGTTTAGTCATTAACCCAGAGATTGCACATCGAATTAGATTCAGCTGTGCACACACACACCCCAACCCCAACCCCACACACACGCACACACACGATCTTCAGAACATCACCCCATGCAATGACAACACTGTCCTCACCAATCTGAAGCCTGTTTCCTTCTGACAGTCATTGAAGTCAATGACGAGGAGTAGAGCTGAGACATAAGTAATCCACTCAATCAGATTCGTCCAGCCGAGGTAGGACAGTTTGGCTTGATAGATTTGTAGCAGCTGAAACAAACATGCTTACACTGCATTTATAGCATTACCAAAAAAAAGGTGACAAACTCGGGAACAGAGAGTGTGTATGTATAAGCATTTATAGCATTACCTAACATACACGACAAATTCGGGAACAGAGTGTGTGTGTATAAGCATTTATAGCATTACCTAACATACACGACAAATTCGGGAACAGAGAGTGTGTATGTATAAGCATTTATAGCATTACCTAACATACACGACAAATTCGGGAACAGAGAGTGTGTATGTATAAGCATTTATAGCATTACCTAACATACACGACAAATTCGGGAACAGAGTGTGTGTGTATAAGCATTTATAGCACTACCTAACATACACGACAAACTCGGGAACAGAGTGTGTGTGTATAAGCATTTATAGCATTACCTAACATACATGACAAACTAGGGAACAGAGAGTGTGTGTGTGTATAAGCATTTATAGCATTACATGATATACTCACCACCAAAAGAAACAAGAACCATAGAAACATATAGAGAAGTATTATCGGTAAAGATTTATTTTTTGTTTATTTGTTGTTTAACGCAGCACTCAGCAATATTCCAGCTACATGACATTGACATCATGAGCATCGATCCACGCAATTGGGATATGATGACATGCATCAACCAAGTCAGCGAGCCTGACCACCGGATCCCAATGTCCATTAAGAAGAGATGTTTCAAATGTGTTCCACTTAATGAAGCGTCTTTAGTCTATTAACAATATGCTGCACATGATTTCCAAACTTTAAATGCTAATCCTGCACGAGACAAATGGTGCATGTTGCATCATGGATCTATGACGTCTCAAGTGATGCGTTCATGTAATGCGTCGGTTCACACAACATAACAGTATACTTGTTTGTGCATCGAACCAATCTTGCATCTCTTGAAAATGAGTAATTCTTCACATATTAACCAACATGTATGGTATTCGCATTTCTCTTGTTGGTGAGTATATATACAGAACATAGTGACAAACTGTGTGTGAGTGCAAGCGTCCATGTGTGTGAGCACATGTGCTGTTTAATGCTGCACACAGCAATATTCCAGCTATATGACAGTGGCCTGGAAATAATTGAGTTTGGGCCAGACAATTCAATGATTGATATTAAGGGCATCGGTCCATGATGTCTGAGAACGATGACATGCTGGGACCCTGGGGCAAGGACAGGAGTGAATTTAAGGGAAAACAGAGAATTCATGGGTTATTCCCCAGAAACATAAAGAGGAAATTCATGGAAATATTTCCCAGGAATAATAACAGATCGAATTAAAGGGAACATTTCCCAGAAATGACAACAGATAGATTTTAAATGAATATTTATCAGGAATAACAACAGATAGAATTCAAATGGATATTTCCCAGAAATAACAACAGATAGAATTCAGATGAATGTTTCACAGAAATAATAACAGAGAGAAGTCAAGGGAATATTTCCAATGATAACAAGTGTAGGCCTATAAATATTCCAGCATCATATTACATTACCTCTTTCAACAAGTTGAAGGCCGCTAATCCTATAATAACATATTTAGCAATGAGGGCGATTAATGGCTGTTGATAGGTTGACGTCAGCTGGTCACATGACCCAGAGGAAATGGCAATGGCATCACTGGTATTACTGAAACATAAAAATAACTATAAATTGCTCAATGTATAGGAGGGGCCTCTTCATCAAGTTAATAATGACAGGTGCTGCCATTCCTGTTTACGTTCACCTCGTGCTGTACATCATAACACCATAAGAACACAAGAATCATACATAGAATCATGTATCAAGCAGGTCATGGATAGGATTCATCTTAACCTTGTTGAATGAAGTTGTTTTTGTCCAAAATTACAGATCTTATTTCTAATGGTAGTTCACTTCTAGGTCAGTGTTAACTGAGGATATTCTAGTGGATTGCACTTACTAGCTTTAGGGTGGTAGTGTCTGTACGCTGTACACTGTGAGGAACGTCAGGAACACCAGGTAGAGATAAACTGAGGGTATTATAGTGGAGTGCACTTACTAGCTATAGGGAGGTGGTGTCTCTACAATGTACGTTGTGAGGAACGTCAGGAACACCAGGTAGAGGTAAACTGAGGGTATTATAACGGAGTGCACTTACTAGATATAGAGTGGTGGTGTCTGTACGATGTACGCTGTGAGGAACGTCAGGAACACCAGGTAGTGGTAAACTGAGGGTATTATAGTGGAATGTACTTACTAGCTATAGGGAGGTGGTGTCTCTACGATGTACGCCGCGAGGAACGTCAGGAACACCAGGTAGAGGTAAACTGAGGGTATTATAGTGAGTGTACTTACTAGGTATAGGGTGGTTCTGTCTCTACGATGTAAGCTGTGAGGAACGTCAGGAACACCAGGTAGAGGAGAAAGAAGAGGTAGTAGAACACACTGCCGAATGTGTTCCACTTGTGGTTCAACATGGACATGACCAGAGGGTGAGCCAGGAGGTCCTCTCGACTCGACGTCACCTGGAGGGACAACAGAAAAACTGTAAAATGTGCCAAATGTACTCAAGTCTGAGTGTGGGTCATTCATCACAATTCAAGGGTCCATTCATCACCATTCAGGGTAATTCATCACTATTCAGTGGGTACATTCATCACAATTCAAGGGTCAACTAGAAAGTGTTTTTACTCGTAAAAACATATGTCTCCCCCCACTCCCCTAACCCCCATTCATTCGTTTACTTCACGTTAAACCCCATCTCTTAATTCCCACCCTCCATTACTAAATAACAGAGACAAAAATAGAACTAGTAGAAATTTCAAACAACTAATGGGCACCACTTCAGCGTCTAATCAACACCACTAATCCCTCAATCATTTACCCACCTGACAGTGTAGTCATCTAAGTAGCACAGTTTTCTTGTTACTGAAGTATTTGTAGAAAATCCACTTAAAGTACTAATAGAGTTTGGACACAAATATATTAATATCCCCAACATATCAGAAATGATGTAGCAATGTTATATGGCACAAAGGAAAGTCTCTGTGATGTAATTGCCCGTGTATCTGACTCTGCAGGTCTTCTACACAATGACATATGTGATGTCATGGAAACTGTAATAGCAAGGCACCACACCAGCTCTCTGATGTGAAAGATCCTTGACATAAATATGGTCAATAACAGTTTCTTTCCTGGCAGTGGACACTTCAATCAGCTGCGTGAAGGGTTCTTGCAGAAGAGGTTGCGCTTTGTTTGTATTGAGGTCAATGTTGAAATCTCCCAGAAGAACTGTACTGTTAGTCGGAGATAGGTCCAACATTCTGTTCAACTCTTGTCTGAAGTAGGGAATGGGAAGGGTTGGTGGTCTGTACACAGAGAAAACAGAAATTGATGAACACTGCAACTGGATGCCAAGGCATTCCAGTCCTACACATGAAGTGTCAATGACTTTGTAGGAAAGATCCTGATGGATGAACATAGCTACTCCACCCTTTCCTCTCGTTTTCAATGAGTCTGGTACACTAGAGGCTGAGTTGTACTGATTTCCCCTGCTACATGTCAGAACATTGTGGGTAGGCAGTGGGTTAGTAAATGACTGATTTGGAAGAAGCCATGTTTCTTGAAGGGCTATGATGTCTGCAGCTGGCAGAAATCTATTTGCTGTGAAATCTTTCAAGTGAGGGAGAAATCCTTCAGTGTTGTGGCCCACAAGCACCAGGGAATTTGCATAAACAGGAATGTTTGGTGGTACTAGGTTATTCCATCTTGGCAAACTTGTAGCAAGCGGCATTTCTGAAATGGCATTTTCTACCCTGCTGTCTGCATAGATTCCACTTGGTTTATAATCATCCTTAATGAGGAACAAGCCATTGAGTGATGTCACTCTACTTAGCGCAACATAAGCCATCCCTGCTTTAAATATTCTGTCTAATGAAACAACAGCCTTGTCTGTGGTCATTCCCTGCACTTTGTGCACAGTCACCGCCCATGCCAATTTAAGTGGAATTTGGTGACGGGTAACTTTAATTGGCTTGTGCTGAATAGGTTCTTTTTCAGGTTTGATGACCGTGGAACATGGGTCAATTCTTGGTGGAGGTGGATGAGATTTCCTTGCGTTGCGTCCAACTTGGTCATCATCAAACTTGACACACACAGCTGTAGGCAAGCCAAGTGGGCTGTTTCCTGCAATGATGGATGTTACTGTTCCAAGAACACCATTTGAAAGGCCATCTGGTACGTCAACATTTGAGCACAAGAGGACACGTGCACCAATGCAGAGTGTTACACGAGGTGGAAGTTTGGCGTTGTCAGTTTCCATTGGATTTGTTCTTTTGTAGGACTTGTTTGAGGTAGCTGAGAAACAAATATCAGCTGCTGTGATTGTTACCAATGGAGTGCTTTCAGCTCGTTCAACAAGCAGTGCTTCATTGTGATATTAAACGGTTTCTGAGTTATGGTCAGGAAACAAAGCTTACCCCCATTCAGAGCCTATGTTCAACTTATCTCCATGGAAACAAGAAAAAATAAAAATGTCAAAAATCTCTAAATAGCAAAAGGCACCACTTCAGTGCTGGGTTAATGTGTATACAAAGTTTCGCGACAAAATATTAAACGGTTTCCGAGTTATGGTCCGGAAACAAAGCTTACCCCCATTCAGAGTCTATGTTCAAGTTATCTCCATGGAAACGAGAAAAAATAAAAATGTCAAAAATCTCTAAATAGCAAAAGGCACCACTTCAGTGCTGGGTTAATGTGTATACAAAGTTTCGCGAAAAAATATTAAACGGTTTCTGAGTTATGGTCCGGAAACGGTGGGAACGCCGACGCCAACGCCGACGCCAACGCCGACGCCAACGCCGACGCCGACGGGAACCGTGCCAAAAACAATATGTCTCCCTCCATTCTGGGGGAGACATAATTCATCATCATTCAGGGTAATTTATCACCATTCAGTGGGTACATTCATCACCATTCAGGGTAATTCATCACCATTCAGTGGGTACATTCATCACCATTCAGGGTCATTCATCACCATTCTGTGGGTACATTCATCACCATTCAGGGTAATTCATCACCATTCAGTGGGTACATTCAACACCATTCAGTGGGTACATTCATCACCATTCTGTGGGTACATTCATCACCATTCAGGGTAATTCATCACCATTCAGTGGGTACATTCATCACCATTCTGTGGGTACATTCAACACCATTCTGTGGGTACATTCATCACCATTCAGTAGGTACATTCATCACCATTCAGTGGGTTCATACATCACCATTCTGTGGGTACATTCAACACCATTCTGTGGGTACATTCAACACCATCTTGTGGGTACATTCAACACCATTCTGTGGGTACATTCAACACCATTCTGTGGGTACACTGATCACCATTCTGTGGGTACATTCAACACCATTCAGCGGGTACATTCATCACCATTCAGTGGGTACATTCAACACCATTCAGTGGGTACATTCAACACCGTTCAGTGGGTACATTCAACACCATTCAGTGGGTACATTCATCACCATTCAGTGGGTACATTCAACACCATTCAGAGTAATTCATCATCATTCAGAGTAATTCAACACCATTCAGTGGGTACATTCATCACCATTCAGTCGGTACATTCAACACCATTCTGTGGGTACATTCATCACCATTCTGTGGGTACATTCAACACCATTCTGTGGGTACATTCATCACCATTCTGTGGGTACATTCATCACCATTCTGTGGGTACATTCATCCCCAATCGGCGGTACATTCATCCCAATTCAGCGGTATATTAATCCCCATTCGTCGGTATATTCATCACCAATCTGTGGGTACATTCATCACCATCCTGTGGGTACATTCATCACCATTCAGTGGTACATTCATCCCTATTCATCGGTACATTCATCCAAATTCAGCGGTATATTCATCCCCATTCGTCGGTATATTCATCATCATTCTGTGGGTACATTCATCATCATTCTGTGGGTACATTCATCACCATTCTGTGGGTACATTCATCATCATTCTGTGGCTACATTCATCACCATTCTGTGGGTACATTCATCACCATTCTGTAGGTACATTATTCATCATTCTGTGGGTACATTATTCACAATTCTGTGGGTACATTATTCATCATTCTGTGGGTACATTCATCACCAATCTGTTGGTACATTCATCATCATTCTGTGGGTACATTCATCACCAATCTGTGGGTACATTATTCATCATTCTGTGGGTACATTCTTCACAATTCATCCCCATTCATCAACATGGCCGTGCACTGCCTACCATTATCATGAGCGGGTGATTCCTCTTGAGCATGTTGGAGTCCGACGTGTAGGGCGTGGCACCTGCCAGTAACCTGTCATCTTCATCATACACACCAAAACCTGAAAAGTAGGGGTTTTTTTAATTAAGAACCAATTTTCTGTTAATAAAAATGAGTATTCTGGCTACAGATGTACATTCACTGTGGTGAGACCTAGTTAGTGCACCAAGCAAGCACAAGACACTGATGGTTTGCAAATTAAAGATAAGCCAAATCTGCCAAGTCAGCACAAACTTTAGCATTATTTCTGAAAGTCTTTAATGTACATTCTCAACCTGATTCTAATGTTACAAATTGAAATGGTTGAATGTTTGTTCTTATTAATCAGGTTTTAGAAGGAATGAGTCATCATGAAGACATTTTAGGGTTGATGTCAGTGATCCCAGAAAGGCTTAAAGCGACTGTTACCATAGTTACCACAGTTAAAAATTGAGAAAGGACTGAGAAGAGGCAAGGTACTATTATGCATCCACATATAACTATATGTTTCTAGTGATTTTCAAAAAGGTTAATTCGCTTTAGACACTGTGTTTCATCCTGGACCTTTAAACTGGGCAGTGAATGACAAAATGCAACACAAAGACAATAATGTTAGGCACTGGTGTAGATCTAGGTCTTCTACAGGAATTAAACAAATAAACACAACTGATCTTTCTGTTTTTCTACACAAATAACTGCATTTTTTCCTTATTTCTCACTGGAAATAGGTGGCATATATTAATTATTCACATTTGTTAAACATGTTAAATATGAGTTCTATTACTTTAATACCAGCATATTCATGAGCAACAACACTTGTGAGACACACTTCTAGAAAAAATCTCACTTGACTGCGAACTGGGGACTCCTTCAATAAAATTCATCATTATTCAATTAAGGTGACATTGATGATGATGGCTATTGTACCATATTTAATTAACTGTTGTAGATGTGTTCCAAGTTTACTGCAGTCGAGTACAAACAACATGAACTGTCTAGCATTGATGTGAAGATCATGAGCACTGTGCCCAAACACGGTGTTGTGAAAGTGGATGGAAAGTAACACTGTGAGGTGAGGTGAAATTGGGTTTAACGTCGCGTCCAAGATTATTGCACTTATATAGCGACGTGCATGCACGTGTGTGTGTGTGGCCTCTTGTACTAGTCCGGACTGATGCCGATTTATAGTGCTAGCATGAATACCCCACTCAGACACAGTATACTATATGTTATAGTTAGCCCCTTAATGCCAAGCGCCAGACAGGGTATCAACAAGTACCATCTTTTAACGTCTTTTGGTATGCCGCGGCCAGGGATCGAACCCCAGACCTTCCAATCTCAAGGCGGACGCTCTACCTCTAGACATCGGAGGCGGTCCTGCGCCTTCTGATGATAGGGTGGAGATTATTTGTGACAGAGTGGCAACATGTGTCCCCCTCAAAATGTACTTCTTGGGAAATGTCCACTCGTGCTTACATGGATATTGCTTAACAGCACAGTTGCCATTTATAATTACATGGGATTATGGGAATATGTCTTCTGGTCAGTATGATTAACACTTTTCCCTATCAAGTTGGAATAATTTTGGGACAAAAAAGGTATGATAAAATATATTATAAATGAGGAATCTTTGACCAAATTAGTCATGTGCACAGTCTGACTGGTTTATTTCTGCACATACACTGATCGATAGGGGGTGAGTCTTCCTGCAGGTCATGAGAAGGAGCGCATATCCCAGAGTGAAGGGTGCGCATCTATCTTATAAAGACATCGCTCAGACTACCAACATGGTAGAATATGTGAAGCCAGTTCTATCTAGGTTACCCTGCTGTGATAGAGCTGCAAAACTTTCTTAATATGATAAAGAATTCAAATTCCTACATAATAATGAGCCAATGCTTGATCCCCTCACTTACCCCCCCAACCCCCAAACACACCCCACACCTACCCCCCACCCCCAATAGAACTGCAAGTTTTAAAGAATTCAAATTCCTACAAAATGCTGAGCTAGGTTTACCTCCTGCGATGTACCTGCAAAATGGAAGTCTCATTGGCACACACTGTTTTGTTTGATTGTTGTTTTACGCCGCACTCAGCAATAATCCAGCTATATGACGGCGGTCTGTAAATAATCAAGTTGGAACCAGACAATCCAGTGAGTGACATCATGAGCATCGATCCACGCAATTGAGATCGATGACATGCATCAACCAAGTCAGCGAGCCTGACCACCCAATCCCGTCAGTCGCTTTTTACGACAGGCATAGTCACCTGTTACAGCAAGCATGGGTTGCTGAACACTGAAACAAAGGGACTTAACACACCTGAACTTGATCCAGTGTCGCTGGAGGACTCTCTCTTTGTGTCCAGCCAATTCGCATACACATCATCCAGGAACTCATAGTTGAACGTGATTTCATAGTCGGGTCGCTCTGGATTCTTCTCAGCGCCATAGCTCAGGCAGCGATCAAACACTCGCTCTGCCACATCTGGTTAATGAGAAATATTTGCTGCTAAACTTGTATGGACACTAATAGAAAGATACATCTCTGGGTACAGACCTTACTCTAGACTAACATTTAGTCTATGAAATCTTCTATTACAAAATACCCTTCTCGACTAAAATTAAAGAAATAATTTTCCCCGAGCTGGCCAGACTTGCTTTTGTATAATTTCGTGGTTGGTTTAACCCATGTCCAAGGGACACAACTCTGCACAATAAATTGAGGTGACTTAGACAACTGGACTACCTGTCGCCCATCGACAAATAACCAAATGGAAACTTAAGATATAAGTTATCATTTGTACCACTTCACAGCATTTACAACTTGACATCTAGATATTTGGTACGACAATATTGTGAGATTGAGTCCTGGAGTCAAACCTGGCATTTTCCTGATGAGTTTCCTCATGGGCGTGTCCAGTTGTCCTGTGACCAGGTCCAGTGATGCATGTCGCAACGCATCCTCCCACACTTCAGAGTTGATGATCACCATGGCAACATCACTGGTGAAAACACATGACCATTACAGCAAACTTTAATACAATGAAATGGTAAACATACTGCATATGACACTATCAAGTTATCATTGACATTACTGTCACAAGCATTAACCCGAATCTTACCGACAAAACATAAACACAGTCATACTACATAACATGACATGCATATACAACTAAGGCTGCAAACCCCTATCGTTAGGGGTATTTGGACGGTATTCTTGGTATTCAGGATGCAGATAAAATGTTATTGGTACGCAGATTCAACATTAAAAAAAAATAATGGTGTATGTAAATATTTCCAGTGTATTTAATTTTTTTTTTTATTTCTTCAGTAATCTCACTTCAAATCGCACCCTTTTATGACATAGAAAGGTGTTCTGTAGGATTTCATTCAGCATTTGTTGAGTGAATTTGGACATATTGAAGTTGAACTCACATGTTGTGGTTTTCAATGGCGATATCAAGACTGTTGAGACCATCGGAGTCCGGTAACGTGACATTTGCATCCCATTCAAGGAGGAGGCTTACTACCGCGGCGTGACCATTGCGACTTGCAAGATGAAGTGGAGTGGTCTGCAGAAAATGAAAATGTTCAGAGTGAGTGAGTGACAAATGCTGCTGGGACACCATAAATGGGATCCACAAGTAGTATACATGCGAAGGTTGTAACATGCTGATGTTCCTTCCACTACCAGGCATTTCTTGATTGAAGAAGAGTCCTGGGCCCGCTTGTACAAAGCGATCTTAGCGCTACGGCTATCGTAAGCCTATGTTAAAGAAGTGGAGTTATGATCATCTTAGCACTAAGATTGCTTTGTGCAAGTGGGCCCTGTTCTCATTTACAGTTTTAGAACTGTATCTTGAATGAGTGAATCAGTATGGTTTTAAACTGTTTTTTTTTATCAATATTTCACCAATATCACAGCAGGGGATACCAGTAATGAGCTTCACACATTGTTCCCAAGTGGGGAATTGAACGCCTTATGCGTGACAAGCAAACACTTTAACCATCGGGCTACCCCACTGTCCGAAGAGATATCTAAATCTGATTCATTGATTGCATCCTATTATTATTTGAGTTTGAGCTATAGCTATTAGCTAATGCATTTTCGCTTGAGAGTATTTACTTTTACCATACTTGTACACAAATGTAATGTGGCTAGCGGAAACTCAGAGCATTATTCAAGCTTGCTGTTGATCTCCTGGTTAACATGTTACGGCATAAAGGGACAACAAAACCCCATAGCACGTGTACATCTTCGGACAACTCAGAGTGGACCTGGTCACTTGTACTGACGCCTGCTATGCATGACTGACCTGGTTTTTGTCCATGGGGTCAATGGGTGCATCGTCTTCCAGGAGGATCCGGCAAGTCTTCAGCCATCCCTTGGATGCAGCCAGATCCAGGGGGGTCCATTGACTGTAGTTCCTGGCAACCAATGAAGGAGGTATGTGAGCAGAAACATCTCAGAAGGGGGTTCACCAACAATAGTTCCTGAGATATGGTGAATCAGCATAGTTTCTCAGAAGGGCTTCATCAGCAATAGTTTCTCAGAAGGGGTTCATGAGCAATAGTTTCTCAGAAGGGGTTCATCAGCAATAGTTTCTCAGAAGGGGTTCGTCAGCAATAGTTTCTCAGAAGGGGTTCGTCAGCAATAGTTTCTCAGAAGGGGTTCATCAGCAATAGTTTCTCAGAAGGGGTTCGTCAGCAATAGTTTCTCAGAAGGGGTTCATCAGCAATAGTTTCTCAGAAGGGGTTCGTCAGCAATAGTTTCTCAGAAGGGGTTCGTCAGCAATAGTTTCTCAGAAGGGGTTCGTCAGCAATAGTTTCTCAGAAGGGGTTCGTCAGCAATAGTTTCTCAGAAGGGGTTCATCAGCAATAGTTTCTCAGAAGGGGTTCATCAGCAATAGTTTCTCAGAAAGGGGTTCATCAGCAATAGTTTCTCAGAAATGGTTCATCAGCAATAGTTTCTCAGAAAGGGTTCATCAGCAATAGTTTCTCAGAAGGGGTTCATCGGTTTCTCAGAAAGTGGTTCACCAAAAATTGTTTAAGAGACAAGGGTCATAAGGTTATTTTGATGAGAAACGGGTTTATTGGAAAGTTTCCTTAACAGACAATCTAGGCAAGTAAGAAATAGTTTGCTGAGAACAGGAAGAAGAGGTTTATCGGATGTTTCCCCTGATACATGTAAGGACCCTGCGAAGCCTGCCCTTCAAATGTCAGATGTCAGAGACTTTGAGATGTCATAAGCTGAATTGTTTGATAGGCATTACTTAGAAGTTGACAGATGACAAAGTAGAGATAATGTATGGATAACAACTTCTTTATTTACTGTAAACGCGACGTTTTAGTATAGATCCTTATACTGTTGTCAAGCAAAACTTGCTTGACGACGGTATAAGGATATGTACTGAAACATCGCCTTTGCAGTAAATGGTAAATAAAGAAGCTGTTATCCATATATGATCTCTTTGATGTCATAAGCTTTTCTACCAGACATAACCTCAACAGATCATTGCAACAGTTTATATATTGCTAAATATGTTTCCTTCCCTTTGAATGTTGAAAAATATAATCCAAAAACTAAAATTGGTCTTGCTATGAATTTTTTACAGGCAGGTGCATTTTTATAGAAGACAGACTGCTAATTAACACTTAACACTAGCAACACGGGTCACAGGATGCCTTGTTGTACCTGCTGGCAACGTCGGCTCCGAACTCCAGGAGGAGTGCAACTGCCTTGTCATGTCCCTGCATGGCTGCCAGATGTAGAGGAGTGTTGGAGTTCTCGTCTTCGTCATTGATGGAGGACTTATCACGCTTCACCAGCTCTCTCACATTGCTGAAACAACAAGCAAATAGTTTCTTGGTTAGCAGGTCATACCTCATTTGTCAGACACCCCAGTTGTTAGACAATGGAGTAGAGATGGCTTGTCAAATGTATGTTATGTGGTAATGGACCAGTCCTAATAGACTAAATCCTGTGTATTATTATGTTTGTTTGTTTGTTTGTTGTTTAACACCGCACTCAGCAATACATACATACATCAGTTGTTTTTGCGTAAATACATCTATTTGTTTTTGCATAATTATTGTAACCTACGTCAATAAACGTTCATAAAAAAAAATACTCAAGAACTTGATGATATACTCAATACCAAAGGGACCACCAAGGTGAATAGGTCACAAGCTTAATGATGTACAGATTTCTAAAGTGTTTTGTTTTATATAAAATAAATTTTAAAAATGTGTTTAAAGCAAAATGAACATTAAACTAATAACATCCAAAATGAGAAGCAGAACCAATATGAAAAAGAGGTGTTTTATGATTTAATGTATGTTATCGATAGTGTTGAATAAAAACTCTTTTCATGAAAACAAGATTATAGCATGTTCCAGTCAGTGTTAATTATTTTCTGTCTTACGTTCTCATAAGATGTCTGACAAATGGAGTATGATCAGGACTATTCCATTTCACCACATGGGTAACAAGCATTTGATAGCAGGAGAATTCAACCCTGGCACTGGTAATTTTAAGGTATCTGACATGGGGTGAGACTGGTTAGCCATGCTGAAGCTGACAGAGCTACAGATAAGCAGCGCATTTGCGTAAAATACCCCCCAAAATATTCAAAACCCAATTACTTTCAATTAACTTGCGTACAGAAACACATGCATTAAATGAAAAACTCATATGTATAAAAACAGCATGCGTAAATACCCAATGAAGCTTTGTCAGCATGTGCACAAAGGAGCTAATTTCCGAAACATAATTACAAGCTAATTTACTTTGTGAGTCAAGGCTATATACATGATATAGTTAGAACAGTTACATACATCTAAACATTATTTCATTTTTTTTTTAATTTTTAAATGTTCACTAATTTTGCGAAAAACCAAATAGAGTGATGAATAGATGAGTGGAAAAATATTGCTTACCCAATGAAAAATGTAATAACCCAATCAAGATAGAAACCCTAGAGTAAAAACTCAATTGCTCAAAAAGTTATCTGGAGCTCTGAGCTGAGTATCTGCAAAAAGGAAAACCATCTATGTCTGGATTCGCCCCTCTTCATCTTACCCATCTCGTTACCATAACAACCAACCAAGTCTCACCAAGTAATCTCTGAAAACAAGGTCTATAAGGTAATACAGAGCTGATGTCATGAGACGTGTAAGGTTTGGTCTAACCAATAGCAATGTTGTCCCACTTGGTTCAGAGCCTGTATATTTGAAACACAACTTCCTGTAAAAGTCAAGGACTTACTTTGTCCTCCCAAACTTGGCGGCCAGATGTAATGGCGTCTGCTCTTCTTCATTCTTGCTGTCAAGATCACCTCCATTCTCCAGCAATGTCTAGAAAATATGGACAAACTAAACTATTTATCCACAAGGAGTATGAGAAAACATATCCCACAGGTCTTGGACACACATATAGTTCTTTTATCTTTTATATATTAGTGGCAACCTAGCAAGAAACACACATGATATTGGAGTTACGTCCCTTGTGGTAACTACATACAAGGGGAAGACCGCCATACTAATCCACCAGGGGCAGGCGTGTACTTGAGGTTATACCCTGTGATGGTTCCACAATTAGAAATCTGACTTTAGGTTGCGGCTTATAACCTCTAATACACTTGCGCCATCTAGCGAGCTAATCTGGGCAGTGTCTCCCACTAGACTCCGCCTTTTCTTTTTACTAGTTGGATTAATCGGCACTTTCAAATCTTGTTTGATCTTTTATATAAACAAATGGTTGGTAGGTATTAAAATTTCTATTTTCATTATACACTGTCATGAAACTAAGATCCTGAACAATTATTTAAACATGCTTTCGTGGTGCGTTTCACATCTTGTGTCGAGACATGCATGAAAACAATTAGTGATATAGTTTATTGCTAATAGTGGTTTTCAGACAAGGGGGTCAACTGAGACTTTCTTTTCTCTACTTTCCTGATTTTTACAGTGGGCGGATGATTAAACCAATTAATAAAAAATTCCCATGGACCATTAATGCTCTAACACTCCCTCAAAACTGTTGTTTGAATGATTAAACCTGGCACAGATTAAATTTTATGTCACGAAATCATGGTCATAGTGATGTGCTCGTGTTAATGTGCCTCATTTAGTTTTATTTAATACATTCAATCATCTAAGATTTCTATTTGGGTTTTTTCCTGTACAACCATATTTATTTACCTCTCAAAATTAAGAAAGGGTTCCATTATGTTTTAACAATGCAAATATACCGTATTCGACGTAGTAAGCACCCAGCTCGAATAAGCCCCCACAGCGATATTTGCTAATATATAAGCAATTGAACAATCCCAATTAGCACCCCTTCCGATTGATCAATGTACGCAAGACTTATTTAGTCGTGTATAATATGCACTTGTGTGTTATATGCACCCTTAATTATGGGCAATTAAATTCTTGAAAAAAATATCTGTCGTGTATAATATGCACAGACTTTTCTTTTGTATCATTTCAGGCTGTCAGCATAAACCACAAAATTTACGATCATTCAACACCAAATTTTTATTCTAATAAGAGACCCCTATTTCTAATTTTGAGAGCGCCCTGGGCGCTTATTACGTCGAAAGGAAAACTAGTGTGGTTTAGTTTACTTTCAATGATGAAGACGTATTGCTAAATTCTGAGATAAAGGATGAAGCTTATCTCACCACTAAGACCTCACTGTAACCTTCCTGTGCCGCAATATGAAGAGGATCGTTGTCATAGCGATCACTTTGATTGATCAGCCGCTTCACTTGTGGGTAAGACAACAGTTTCTGGAAAACATAAAAATTCAACTGCAGAATGTACACCACTTATCATCCTTAAAATAATGTTTCATGTAAATGTTTCAATCATTAGCCAATCAAAACCTAACTGTATAATGAAATACTGACACAAAGTAGATAACAAATCTGTCATTACATACTTCAGATTCTGAATTTCAATTTCAGAAGAATATCTGAAAAGTGAAAATCAGTTGGAACTTTACCAAGAGATTTGCAACTACATTAAATTGCTTTACTATGCATTTCTTCCTTCTTTCGATCCTTCTGTGAAAACATGCTTGAACAAGGTTTCCAGCTTCTCAAAACAATTCACCTGAACACATCCCAGCATCAACACCACCCAAACAAATGGGTCACACTCTGTCATCCCCTCCATAGCGACCTACACGATACAATCACATGACTACCCCTGCCACATCATTCACTTTCTTAGAACTAACAGGCTAGAGGTGCTGTGTTACGGGAATTGACAGTCAGGATGGCATATAGTGTGAGATAGGATATATATAAAAATATACAATTTAATATAAAATTTACATATTTTTAAACTTATTCTATCTCAAACTATGCATTTATCCCATGGATGGACGGTGAAGCTCATCCGTTGCTTCATGCGGCCTTTCTTTGGGACCAGGAAGATCAGGGAAAAAAATCCTTTGGTACCAGGGTCTTGACCTAGACATTCTTTAGCCTGTTTTGAAAGTAGAGTACCTATCCTATGGTGTCTTTTAGCGCCGGAATCTGGCTGGCTGGATATATACTCGCGAATGTGGACGGCGTCGGTGGCAGCCTGCAACCATTTTGCAGGGGGAAATGCTAGACAAAAGGATCGGCCAGGATTGACCACCTACTGGAGTCTCTACAATTAGTATGGCTGGGAGCAGAAGGTCAAGTCGTCCGGTAGCTAATGTGAGTCACTTGGAGAATGAGTTGCCGGGCATGGTACACTCTCCGATATTCCTGAAAGCAGTGGATGATAAAGCGCCACGCCCATGGCCCAAAAAAACTAGTTTGCTTTCCCTCCCAACATTTCACGGTGGTCTCGCTTCTAAAGACCAAATTGTGGTCGATGTCAATACCGCTTCTGTTGTTCCTCCAGGTGTTGCTTTGGAAGTTGGAGGAGATCCACTGATACCTGGAGATGGGTGCATAACGTCCTGAGGGACCTCCTGGATCCTGTTAGCAAATAGGTACTGAGTAGACCTGGTAGAGGCATGCCTTGAATTGATCACCTCACTGACAGTGTTAGAGGACACCCCGACAACGCAGAAGTGTTACGAGCGGCAGTCGAAGAGTGGCGCAGAGTGTCGTAAGACCACCATCTAGTTCGGGGGCCATAGCAGTAGAAGACAATCCATGCATGCTGGAGTCGTCCAAATTGAAGCGACAAGTCTGTAGTTGATCACAGAGTCGGCCGAAGGTAGCAAAGTCTTTGTCAAGGTTAGTACATCAGACAGGATAGGCCTCGGAGGTAGCATGATGGTAGAGGAACCAGTATCCACAATCCAAGGAAAGAGTGAGTGAGTGAGTTAAGATTTATAGTCACATCGGCAATAATATCTTGACTAAATCAAGTTATACAGTAAGAATAAATACAGTTGGATTATAAAAACTGTTGACAAAGGACAGTAAAACGACAAGATAGATTATCCCAGATCTATATTTCAAAACTAGAATGGAAACACAAAAAAGATATCACAATAAATAACAATACATTATAAAAACGGGCTAGTGATCGCCAGTAACCAAAGGTAGGCCACCATACGAGGGTACCTGATCATGGTAATGATGGGATGTATTTGGGTGAAATGTTTTTAGAAGCTGATAACCCTATTCAAGCATGTTTCCACAGAAGGATGGAAAGGAAAAGGAAGAAATGCATAGTGTGAGATAGGATATGTTCAAAAATTAATTATTGAAAATCTTACCCTCAGCACCGGAGCTTTGTTTTCTTCCGCTGCCAGGAAGATGACGGTTTTGTCGTTCTTGTCGACAGCAGTGTAATCTGCACCTTTCTGCAACAAGAGCTCCACAGTCTCGACATGACCGTATGTCACAGCCAGCAGAAGGGGTGTGTAGTTGTCTTTGTCACGTCGATTAATCTTTGCACCGCTGTAACCATGGAAACAAAACTTGTTTAACATGTTAACCAGCAAAGTGCCAACCAAGTGGCACTACTTTCAATATTATTGACTGAGTTGTTGTGTAGATTTAAATAAGTATTTGTTGTGAAGTAGGAAAGAAATTGCTTGATCAAGCCCTGGTGTAGAAAGCACTTAGAGGTCCAAGAAATCAATATTCAACAACAGCACAAGGCTAGTTAAAACACAGAAAAAACAGCCCAATGCTGTCAGAGACTATCCCAATTCTTTTTTTTTACGGATACAACTATGCCATTTAAATGACTTGACAATTTACACCAAACGTATTCAATATGTTTAAATTCATTTTTATCATCACAGTAATATTTCCAAGGAGAGTCATCAATAAATATGTTTAAGAAGTAGGCTTATGTGTACTGGTATTTTGAATCATCCTAAAGGGTAGTGGTCACTAGCTCTTACATCTAGTTCATGAAATGTCCAGCTGTCTAAAACTGCAATGCCCTCTGTATGGGTAAGCTGCTCACTTGTGATGCAGTGTTGCTGGTCACTCATAAACCTCTTATGACGTAACACTACTGCGTGAGTAGGTTCTTTACAATGTTGATAAAGTGCGAATGTATTTATAAACCAGGAAACCCTGGGCATTCGGAAAGAAATGCCCCAGGCTTAAGAATAACCCTCTAACCTTATAAACTGTCCTTTTGATATGAATCTCATGTTGATTTTTGATTGGTTAAAAATAACAGTTATTTCACATGAAAATTCCATTAAGTGAATCGAACCTGCAACCTCACATATCATGATTAGTTCTGTAACCCAGGGTCCCCGGGGTCGGTAATGAAAGGGTGTTCAAACTAACATGTCATGACTTTGGTTGTGTACATGCTGCACATGGTCTTTCTCTCGCCTGCTTTTATCGAATTCCTTTTATACTAAACGCACTGTATTGTTCAAATTCCTTTTATACTGCGATGCAATGTATTGTTTCACTGTAAGATATCATGACGTCTTTCTGGTATTTCTAACATTTAAACGGTTATTTAGTTGAATAAAAACCTCCTCCCCGGTCTTGACTGAGAATGAAAGCATGAGAACGTGCTTACATTTTCAGTCAAGACCAAGAAGGAAGTTTTTATCCCTTACATCATCCTAGCAATACAAGCATGACAACTCTCACTTACTGATCAACAAGATACTTCACAACATCCAGATGGTTTAACTGGGCAGCTTTGTGTAATGGAGTTGCCTGTTCGTCATTCAACACATCAATACGGGCGTTATGTTCCACCAGCAGCTTGACATTCCGGATGTCTCCTGACATGGCGGCCAGATGGAGCGGATGCATGTAGTGTTTCCGGGGGACATTCACATCAGCACCTGCAGAACATCAGAAGACTTGGTGAAGACGTGTTCATGTAGAAGATAAAAGTCACCATGTTTCAAAAACTATGTCTGGAGTTGAATTTCTTACGACAAATATCCATAACGTTGGTGGTTTTCACAAAATCAAGTGTGCGTGAATCCACAGTCAGTGACATTACAGTAAAGTCGTGACTGCCAGTAAATGGTCAAGTCTGTACCAGGCAAACCAGTGACTGAAAACATGGGAAACTATCCACGCCATCAGGGTACCAATACACACAATCAGCCATTCAGAGAGGCATCCTTTGTTCAGACCAGGGGTCCGGAAACCGTCATATGCGCCGGACATGTCCGATTGGGAATCTCAAATGTCCGTTTTAAAATATTGCTTACCGGACATTTTAAAAAGTATTGTCCGGACATTCTTAAATTTTGACCGGACATGATCAACAGTTAGGACTGAGCAGTTTCTGTCTGCAGTTGCAACACAATGAAGATTAACTACACTGACAAGCTTTGTTTGTTTTGATTGCTGTAAATACATCGTACCTACATGATAGTCCAATCTGTCAATCACTGTAATAGGCAATAAACTGAGTTGACACTGATTAATCGAGGATTAATTACTGAGAACATCTTGTTAATTTGAGTGAAAGGTGTTTACAACTGTACATTAATACCTTGCATCATCGATGTACCTCATAATCCTCACAATGCTACGATACGTAACCTCAGACAAGAAGCGAAAGCGTGACGACAGGCAGTCGACCGATGCAGAACAGTCGAGCGGATCTGCCAAACCCTCAAAGTCTGGACGATCATTTTGTAAGTCGTGGCTAACGACTTTCACTTGGTTGACATACAATGAGGATTTGCAGATTTTATTGTTTTCAGTAGCTAGTCGTATATTGAATCTTGATTGACCGCCATTTTGCTTTCTCGGACGATCGATATCCAATTTTTTTATGGTCAATAATTAAGTACAGATGAAAAAAGTATTTAAATAACTATTGCTATCAACGATATTTTAGTATTTGTGATTAAATTATCTGTCTTGTTTTTTAAAAAAATCTAATAGTTTAAAAAAAACTTTTCCCGTGAGGTCACGTGATAACCAAATATGGGATAATAGTCTCGATCCAAATGTTACAACGCGTACACTTGAGCAGACTCATGAATATAACTCATGAATATTAACTAGACCGTTCACTACGTTAACAGATCGTTATTATAACAGAAACAAACATATTTTTTCCATGTAAATCTAAAATGATATTATTTGTTATTAATTGTCCGGTGAATTAAACAATTTAAATTGAAACAATTCATAATTCATCATATTATGAATACGTAAACTTGTAATGTGTGTGAAAAGTCGTACTAAAATACGCTATTTGAAGGGGGCGTGGCCTAAATGCAAATGTCCGATTGGGATCTTTAATTTTCCGGACCCCTGGTTCAAACAGAGGTCATATTAGAGATGCTTTTTCAGAATAAAGTTGACTTACGTTTCTCCAAGCAGAGTTTGGCCACATCATAATGTCCGTTGTCTACAGCCAGATGGAGGCATGTGCTCTCCTCAATATCGCGATCTGTCAGCATCTGGATGGGTAACACAGTACATCCTTATAACACTTCATCCTCATTAGTGAGTGAGTTTTGGTTTTCGCCGCATTTAGCAATATTCCAGCAATATCACGGCGGGGGACACCAGAAATGGGCTTCACACATTGTACCCATGTCGGGAATCGAACCCGGGTCTTCAGCGTGACGAGCGAGCGCTTTAACCACTAGGCTCATCCTCATTAACTTCATATATGAACATTTTGGTTCCAACACCACCATGTCTTGCTGAAGGCAATTTTTTTTCTGGTCGCTACTTTAACGGCTAAACCACTTCCTCAGACTGAAGTTTCCTTGTTGGCAAGGCAAACAGAATACATGTGGCAATAACCAATAATAACCTTGATTTCGGAAATAAAATACGTAATAACCACTTACATTTTTTATAAAGGAAAATCCACAAAACGGCAAAATTGTCTTATTGCTGTTTGCAAAGAGCTGGGGTTCAGATTCCCACGAATAATGAGGTCTTGATGTTAGACCAAGCTAGAAGTACCATGACACATGAAGACATGATCACTGCTTTTAGCAAAATATCATTAGAGTACACACATAGTATGTTAGTACACATTAGAATCACTAATGAAGTCGTGGAGAATGAATGCATTATTTCCAGGTCTGAAATGACCTTGATGAGCGCCACTCACACTTGAAACCATCACCCAGCCTTCTGCAGAACGCGCTCCAGCATCAAACAACATCTGCACGAAGATGACGTTTCCCTCTGAACATGCGTGGTGCAGCGGCGTGGACTGTTCGTTGTCCACACACCGCAGGTTGGAACCCGCCTCGATCAACATGGCTGCCACGCCCTCCTGGCTGTGGATGGCTGCCATAGCGAGGGCTGTGATGCCTTGCTTGTCTTGAGCCTGCCAACAAAATGTACAAATGTGAAATTGTGCAAATATTACTAAGCACAGCAGTAACACAACTGATTTCAGGACTATCACCCCAATGTCCCGAATCTCTGCAGCCCATCCCTGATACAGTAAACTACATTTATAAAGAAAACCCTTATAACGAACTGCCGGATATAACGAGCTGTTTTTGAGTCCTGTCCATTTGCTGTATATATGCTGCATATATATGTTTAAAACAAACTACAGTTATAACAAATTAAAATAAGTGTCCCTTTGAGTTCGTCATAACCGAAGTTATATATACATAAGTTACACTTTCAGTCAGATGGTTCTGACACCACTTTTAGCAATATTCCAGCAATATCACAGTGGTGGGGAGGGGACACCAGAAATGGGTTTCACAAACTGAACCCATGGGGATTCGAACCCAGGCCTTCGGCATGACGAACAAACACTTTAACCACTAGGCTATCCCAACGCTCATATAAGGTACAACAGAGTGCCACCACGCTGTACCTCTGCTAGACAAGTAGCCAACACATAAAATGTCAACATAGACAATTGTAAACAATCAGTTCCGCTGAGATATCAAGTCCGGGCAAGAATAGATCTAACAAGTAATCTCCACAAATGGAACAAATTCTCTGGTAAAATTGGTGCCTGCTAAAAAGAATTACTAGAGATATAGTTCTGGAGGAATCAAAATTCAGGAGGTATGAACACTCTATTACACAGTCATGTTTCTTATTTTAAACCTCTGTCAACATTGACACCTATACATTGAGGAGAGCTGAAACTTCCATTTCCACAAATGGTAAAATCCCTACATTTGATAAGCATCAACTGTATCCCTCACCTCAACATTTATTTCCTGAAAGCCTAGCAGATCCCTGGCAGCAATTTCATTCCCTCTCATGGCGGCAAAGTGTAGAGGTGTCTGTCCATAGATATCCACAACGTTGACTTTGGCGCCATTCTTGATCAGGAAGGATATACAGCTGTCCCCAGCGTTCTCCACAGACTCCAGGTATTCCACAAGCTGAGGGAGGCCATTGGCTGCCATCTGGCAACAGTCAAAGACACATGTGGACATCAGTATGAAGATGCCCCCCTCACACATACAACACAGGCTTTGTTTTAATCCACAGCAATGTAGAAAGAAATTTGATCCCAAAGCAAATCGTCACTGCTAGCATGTTTACACCAGACATAGCATGTCAACAAATCTGTAGTGAAGTATACCAAACAAACGTAATTACAACATTGTGTATAAAAAAAAGTGTGAAATGTATTTATAGCTTTTTTTAAATAGCATTTGATTAAAATTATTTTCAGCAAAATCGTATGTGAACTAAAGTCGGTTGCAGATGATGTATTATGCACTAGAAAAATGTACCCACATTGGCTTCAGATGGAGCCTCTCCCTCTTCAGGGCTGTTGGTCTCCTTCCTCTTGTTCTTCTCCCGGCGGTATCGGGCCGCGGTGTGGAGAGGAGTCACCTCATCTTCACCTTTCGCATTAGGGTCTGACAAAACAGTGATTTAGTTGGTGAGTGAATTGGGTTCTAACACCGCTTTGGGCAGTATTCCAGTTGCACCATGGGGTTCAGCTTAACATGGGAGGAAAGCTAAGATGAGATAAAGCTAAATTCTCAGTTTAATGAGCGTCAGTTTAACAGGATTTTAGTGTATTTCTACTGTAACAGCCTTCTTCCAGTACCTGCACCAGCCTACACCAGCAGCTTGACCACACTGAGATGGTTGTAGAGAGCGGCATAGTGCAGGGGAGTCAAGTCTTATAACAATACCTGCGCCAGCCTCCACCAGCAGCTTGACCACACTGAGATGGTTGAAGCGAGCGGCATAGTGCAGGGGAGTCAAGTCTTATAACAATACCTGCACCAGCCTCCACCAGCAGCTTGACCACACTGAGATGGTTGTAGCGAGCAGCGTAGTGCAGGGGAGTCAAGTCTTATAACAATACCTGCGCCAGCCTCCACCAGCAGCTTGACCACACTGAGATGGTTGTAGCGAGCGGCGTAGTGTAGGGGAGTCAGATCTTCATCATCCAGTGCATTTACTTTCTTCTTGAGGTGGCCGCTGATGTTCTTCAGCACAATCTTCATGTTTGCCTCATCTCCATCACGGGCGCACTGGTGGGGAGGAAGAACAAAATGCATATGTATTATTCAGGACTGCATAAACTCAAGATTAATCATTGGTTTGAAAAGCAAATTATGATCGATTATTGATCAATCATGTTTGTTTGTTTGTATCGTAACACCATACTCAGCAATATTCCAGCTATATGACACAGATCTGTAAACAATTGAGTCTTGACAAGACAATCCAGTGATTGACATCATGAGCATCAATCTACGCAATTGGGATATGATGACATACATCAACCAAGGCAACGAGTTTGTTGGTCTCCTCTCACAGCAAGTATGGATTGCTGAAGACCAATTCTAACCCAAATCTTCACAAAGGGATCGATCATGAGGTATTTCTAGAATATCTTACATTCACTGTAATTTCTATCAGTATTCTTTAAGGCAACTGATGGTCAGTTAGTTGGTTGTTTGGTTGGTTTGTGGTTTAACCCCGCATTCAGCAATATTCCAGCTATATGACGGCGGTTTGTAAATAGTCAAGCCTGGACCAGACAATACAATGATCCATCCACGCAATTGGGATTCATGACATGAATGAACCAAGTCAGCGAGCCTGACCACCCGATCCCGTTAGTCGCCTCTTACGACAAGCGTAGGTCAATTAGTGACTGATCACGAATGAGAATGTAATTGAAAAAAATCATACATTCACAGCAATCTTTCTGTTTCCTTCATTTGAATAAAAATAAATATATACATCATGCATATAGCAACACATTCAAATTGTGATATAATGTAACATTCACCCTCTCACTCATATTAACGTCAAATTTGATACTGCTAGATCAGGCCCTCCTATCTAAAAAATATCTAAAATAAAAAATGTTCAATAGGTTTAAATGAGCGCTTATGGTTGTCATAGCTACCATCTTGGAACTGAATGCATTCATTATGCCAACATAAAGAAACACAATCAGATTTTACAGCAGTCGTTCACGGAATACGTGCACAGATGCTATGGGAAACTGTTAAAGGCAGCGGATTAACATCGGCTGTATCCGTCAAAAGCCGATCATACTTAATTGACAACATCCTTTCAGGAAAAACAGCTGCGTTAAACAGTATAAAGGAGAGCTATACTGAAGAAGGGATATAATGTGTTCCTCTCCTAGAGAGACTTTTTCAAGTCACCTGAAATAAATTTTATCTAAGCATATTCAAAAGCTCAACACATTTAAGGACAAGGTACAAATACAGAGCTACAGATAAGCAGCATATTTGCATAAAATACCCAAAACAAATATTCAAAACCCAATTACTTTCAATTAACGTGCCCACAGAAACGCATGCATTAAATGAAAAACTCAAATGTATAAAAACAGCTCGCGTAAATTCCCGATGAAGCTTTTTCAGCATGCGTACAAAGGAGCTATTTTCCGAAAGCTAATTTACTTTCCGGGTCAAGTCTATTCATTTAAAACAGTAATATACTTCTAAAACATTACTTCTTATTTTTTTAAATCTTAAAATGTTCACTAATTTTGGGAAATACCCAATAGATTGATGAGTGAATAAATATTAAAATATTGGTTACACAATGAAAAATGTAAATTATGTTCCCAATTATAATAGAAACCTTAGAGTAAAAACTCAATTGCTCAAAAAGTTGTCTGGAGCTCTGAAATAAGTTTGGAGTTGCAAAAACACTGAATGTTGAGGTTAGATCTAGTTTTAGGTTTTCAGGAATGAGCCCTTATCATGCTTATCATATGTCATCCAGCGATTGAAACTGTTCTTGAAAAACACCCTCCAAGTCAAGAGACTGTAGGCAGCAAACCCAAAAAGGGCCTCTTTTTCTAGTTACTTGATCCACTCGAAATTAAATAACAAAGGTTTAATCCACGCTACCCAGAAATTAACTCACAATGAATACAACACTTCATACCCACTACTCTTGCAGTGACATCTAAGGGGTTTTTTTTATTTAGAAAGTAACATTTCAAAACTTTAGCAGACACATAGTGACAGATGGTAGACAACCTTTCATCATGTGAATGCAACTTGGCAATAACTCAGAGTTTAAACAGTAAATTATCACCAAAACAATGTTTTAAAAACTTTTATGAAAAAATATATCTAGAAACGCATACAAAAGCAAGTCTAGCCAGCTCAAGCTAGGGAAATATTTTTTATTTTTAGATTCAGGAAGGATATTGTGTAATATAAGATTTCAGAGTCTAAATGTTAGTCTATGAAATAGGATTTTTTTCACAAATTGTGATAATAATATTGGAAAACCTCCCAAACAAACAACTCTTCATCTGTAATTTCCCACATGTATTCTAGTTATTATGCCATTATGGCGCTGTGGAAATGTTCCGCCCAGTACAGTACAGCATGCCATTAACATGCTAGCTATTGTAAGCAGAATCAATTATAAATCCGATACTGCAGGCCACTAAGTGGGTCAACTGAGCAGGGCACTTGTTCCAATAGTGTTGTGATATATTGATATGGTGTTGTGTCTTGCAGCTCACTGAACATAAAATAACACATTGTATAATACTGATACTCAAGAGGTCTCACGCTATTTGATTTATTTTCATTTTCAACAAAGCTTGCATTGATATTTACTACACATGAAACTGCAGCCACATCTAGTATGAATTCAGTGGTAGCCATTTCCCTAACCTGCTCCTTGACAGTTGTATGGTAGCAATGTGCTACCCAGAGTGACATACTTCACTGAAATGAAGGACAAGAGGCACTGCCAATTAATGAATGGTTAAACACTGTACTTGAAAATATGTTTGTTATAAGACTCAGTAATGTGTGAAAATTTAGCACTTTTTCAAGTATTGATTTTAACTCATTCTAAAATAAGAATTTCTCATGTAAGAAACAAAAGTGTTTTTTTTGGTGTACTTTCTCGTTTAATATTAAATGAGTAGCTGTAAAAACATGTATTTCATGTTTAGATTTTGTTACCATTGAACAAATGTCGAAATATTAATACTATAGGATCAAGTCACAGCAGCAAAATACTGCACTATACTTAAAAAATGGTACTTTCAATAATGACACTGGGCATAATTATATATCCACCTCCATTATCAGGATTATTCTGCCAGTAAAATTCTAGTGTTTGTGTATGTATGACTGTATGTTAAACACTGCATCGTTATTCATGTTCATCAATTCCTCATGCACCTGACACAAATCAGATTATCGGTAATTTTAAATTGCTGTGGTGATCCCACTTCAGGGTTTTACCTTGACCTACCAAGTGGGGGTCCAGGGAACCCCAATAATTAAGTTAAAGGGTCCTTGCAGGCAATATGAGTGTCAAGTAAAGTAAAGAAGTGGCATAATGTACTGTATGTTTTGATAATTACTATAGAACCGAGAATTAATCATGTGGAAAGTGGTCATGATTGATGGTTGAAATGACAAGTCCTTAAACCCTCTTGATGCAATGTAGGTAAAATGAGTATTAGTAACACTGCTCTTGATGCAATGTAGGTACAATGAGTATTAGTAACACTGCTCTTGATATGCTGCTTGTTTGTTTGTTGTTAAACGCCCGCACTCAGCAACATTCAGATATATGACGGTGGTCTGTAAATAATCGAGTCTGGACCAGAAAATCCAGTGATTAATATCTTGAGCATCGATCCGCGCAATTGGGATCGATGACATGCATCAACCAAGTCAGGGAGCCTGACCACCAGTTGCCTCTCACGACAAGCGTTAGTCGCATGGGTTACTGAAGACCTATTTTACCCCCGATCTTCACATGCGGTAGGTACAATAAATATTATTAAGCGTCCCTCGGGACGCAGTATATTACTGTCACTCGGTACAAACATAAAGGTTCAACTTGTTCTTTTCATATGTAACAGGGATGGGCTGACCGTGGCACAACTTGTTCATTATACGTAACAGTGTTAAGATCACAACAATTTATTCTTAGCGATAGACTGGTTTGCTTCAAGGGACTGTGACCTAGTCTGATGTGGTAAAAATACAGCACACTTTCACTTTCAGGAAGACGTTTTAAATCATATGGCTTGTCCTAACTTTTCAATGGAAACTTTCCCAAATACTGCATATCGTGCATTATTTTTGGAAGAATGAAGTTTAACATTTCAATCCATTGGCCAATGTAGGAGTGACGGATATATCGGATGTATATTAATAGGTAGTTGATTTAGTATTAGGTCATGTCAGTCATTCCATTGGTCAAAGTTTGCGCAAGGTCGGTCTGACATGGCCCGTAATGGGATGTCCTCATATCTTTGTTTAGCGGTAGCGAGAACTAAGATCTGATTTTAATGAGATTGGTTTTTATTCCACATGATGTTAAAAGCAAACATGTACCCATTTCCTAGGTTTGGTGGATTAACCGTGGCTGCTACTAGATTACTAGAAGGCTAAGGAAGCAGCACTGATCATAGTCGGAGATGTGACATAACTGAAATACTGTTCAATGCAGCTTTAAAAACCAAACTCACTCACTCACATATCTGAAACTCTGTACCTGAGACTACAATAAATATTTAAAGATATAACTAACAAACATGCAAAAAAATGTTGAAATGAAAATATTGCTAAGATTATCAACACTCTGATAACTTTCAGAAGAATTTCTGATTTTCCTTATTCATCACAAAGTGACTACGTTTATTTAATGTCTTACATTTCCAAGCATGTTTGGACTTACAACCAACTGACAACCCCCTAAATGTTGAAAACTGTCCTCCCCATGTTGGTTTAATTGTGTGTGTTAATCATAAAATGGGGTAAAACTATTATAGGTAGGGTTAAATATATCAGGCATTTCCCCCATCATGAAATGACCGATCCCTTTGAGCAGACGACAATGTGTACTTACTTGGTGCAGGGTAAGATTAAGCGCCTCTGAACTGTCGGCGCGCTTCATACCCGAGGATGGGACGGTTGCCCCGGGGACATCGCCTGGGTTTGTGATCAGGTTCGCCATTTCCATCACAGCCTTGTCGGCAGAACTATCCGACAACCGTCTGAAATAACCAAGATCAAGTGTGTCAGACATTTCGTCTCCACGATTATCCAAGTTCTGTGCACCACTTCTGAGGGGCGAAACAGATCCGTGAATGGCTTATACGCTTCACAAGGCACACGTTCACATTCCAGGGCTTCTTGCGAGGCCGTTGTGTTCCATTTAGTGGGTGTGTTAGATTACTGTCGATGATCCTGACTGCAACAGGTCCGTCCTTGTGTTAGTAATTGTTCAAACAGACAACAAAACATACGTGTTAAACTGACGACCAACTATTTGTTTACAAGGTCTGTAACTCCTGATAGCCACATGTCACGTCCAGCCACTGTACGGAGTTCAAGGCGAAGAAGCCAAAATGACCTATAAATATACGGCAATATTCATTGGCCAGGTCCAGTCACGTGGGCTTTCTATTTCACAACATGCACCCTTTCAGCCTTTCACCAGATAGTTACTAACAAATAAGCTGAAATATTTTGCGTAATACCGATGTGATTCACGGACGTGAAATATCGACCGTACCTCACGTGAAGGGAAATATAATATATAATCTTTCCCAAAGGGATAACCAACCCAGTGAATATCAGTTGTTATCACGCAGAAACACCATTCAAAAAGAGCATATTGCTAAAGTGTTTAGAAATATTGACACGTGTTGATAATGTGTAACAGAGCTGTTATTCAAACGTACGTCCTCAAACGCATACCGTTACACTCAATAAACAAATATTTTATCAGGAATGCACCTCTAACCCGACCCCGGACACCGAATTCGAGTTTAAAGTACGTTTCGCAAGATGTTGCCAGCCGATCAATGAATACGCCCCACTCTTACGATATTCGACCATCTGATTGATTACTCAGCTACTGCATTGCTGCATTTCCCATGATTTGGGAGTTGTTATTAAGCGTCACAACAACGTTCCCATGAATTAGACCGCCTCCATGGTCTAGTGGTAGAGTGTCTGTCCGGAGAGAGGAAGTTCCGGGGTTCGGCCGCTTCATACCAGAAGACGTTAAAAGACGGTACTTGATGTTACCCTGTCTGGCGCTCGGCATTAAGGGGCTAAAACAAGGACTTTCGGCTCGGAGTCAGTATACTGCGTGTCTGAGTGGGGTATTCATGTTAAACTGCGGCATGGTATCTGTGTGGGCTAGCACTATAAACATCCGACATCAAGAGCGTCAAGACTGTCGGCTAGTGCGCATCATGACGCTTCTTGATCACAAAAACATATCAGTTCAGACTACCCTACAATGCATCATAAATACAATGTACATGCGTTAATATTTGGTGAACTACGGTGTATGTCCCATCCTTAAGATACTGACAGTGACATATTGGATATGACCTGGGTACTTCACGGCTTCATTGCAAAAGACAGATTTGAGCGCTCCGACTTTCGTAACTATAATCTTTTTAACATGCATGCAGATTAAAAATTATTTTGGGGAACGGGGAACTGATACGAACTGTTTAGCACTCAAATAGCCTCCATTCCGCTGTTTTGCATGAGACACAAGACGTGAGCGGGGTTTTACACCGATATTAGCTATATTCAAGCAGTACCACTGAAGAACAGCAAAACTGCTGGGGAAACTTGAAATTTGATTGGACCCAAAAATTGCAAACGTTATCAAAACTTTACTAGGCCGAAAACAGTCACCGAAATACCGCAAACTTAAGGTCCATAACACTACTGTGATACCCGTATCAAATACATCACCATCGAATAACAATTTATTGTTTGTTTCATTTGAAGCCACCATAAAACATGGGCGTATACTTTCTCAATTGCGTGGATCGATGTTCATGATGTTAATCACTGGTTTGTCTGGTCCAGACTCGATTATTTACAGACCATATACCCTCATATAACTGGAATAATGCTTAGTGGGGCGCTAAACAACAAACAAACATATTTTCTTTTGGCTTGTCAGTTAAGAATTTGATTACACAGAAACATTGTTCCCACGTGGGGAACATTTGTTTGTTGTTTTACGCCGCACTTAGCAAAATTCCAGCCATATAACGGCGGACTGTAAATAATCGAGTCTGTACCAGACAATCAAGTGATCGATAGTGTGAGCAACGATCAACGCCGTCGGGGTAAGAGGACACACAATCAACCAAGTCACCGAGCCTGACAACCGGATCCATTTGGTCACCTCTTAAGACCAGCCTAGGTTCTTACACGGAATGCCCATGCGAGTGTGGGAAATAGAACCGGGTCTTGAGCGTAAAGACCGAGACTAACGCTGAGTCTCTGAAAATACGTAAGTTTGATAAAAACAACCAACTCCAATTAAATTTAAAAGGAGACCCAATGAGATGGGAGATTCTGATCGTGAATCTGGAACATCTAGACCTGCTTGGTTTCATCTTCCCGAGGCAAGGGAGTTAACTGACTATAACAGTCCAGTTCTCACCCTTGCCGATCTAGGCTGGTATTATGGAGTTACGAGTCTATGCATAGACCATTCAAAATCGCGCAACGAAATTGAAATCCGGATCGTAAAATGTCGTGCAGATTTCAAAGGATGTGCACCGCCAACGCCTTGTCAACAGATATTTTCCCAATCTTTTCATGTTTTTAATCAAGATGCTCACGTGAGTTGATGCACTTCGCGATGTAAGACCCATTTTATCACAATATAGATCGTGATTATCGATTAAATCGTCTTGACTTGGCGCCGCCGTTTTGTTTGAAGCAAATGCAAGTGATACGAGAGGTGGAATCTGATTAGTCCATAGGAAAGGCTTAGAAGGGACATAACTCGTAACAGCCATTGGTGGCGCTACGATCGAGCCTTTGGAATTCAAGCCTAGTCCGCAAGGGTGGAAATTTTTAAAGTCAGTTAACACTCTTGCCTCGGGAAGTTGGCTTGGTTTAGGACTATAGCATTACAGTTAGGGCTGGGCGGAATGGAAAAAAGTAATCAAGGGACCATGAGAAAGGCTAGTGAAGACGGACCATTAACTGGACCACATTCGACTACTCAAACGTCCCTGACACAACTTATTAATTCAGTTTGCTTCAGAGTTATTCTCAGTCAGCCGTCATGGCCATGTTTACCGTCACGCATAAAACCTAAGCTATTTTATTTCTAAACCAATCACCAAGTCAAGGTGACAGCACCATAGGCTACAAACAGCCCGATAATGTTTAGAGCCTAAAGTATTTGTTTGGTTGTAGAGTCCGATATTACAAATGTCGTGTTTAAAAGGCTAATCAATTATTATTATTTTTTTGCAGAGTTACAAAACATGCCTCATGCCAGCACTATAGGCGTAGATTCAAAGCGATGTTACAATCAACAATCAACCGTTTCTTTGCCTGCATTTGCCTCATCCCCGTTTATCCAGCGCATTACATCCCCATTCTATGAGAACAAATAAATTGGGGATATAACACGCTGGGTAATCGAGGACGCGTGAGCCTATATTGGGTGACAACATCTCTCGCCAGTGTCACTCAAATCTGAAGGGTCTTCCTGTATAAGGGAGATAATACATTAGTGTTTGCGTGACATACTCAAACGCTCCTTAAGCATACACTTTAAATACAAGTGCACGTACCTGCTTAATTTCAATCTATTTCAGGGCGATGCTGATAAGGGAGGGAGTCTGTAAATACCGTATATCTTATAATTCAGTATCAGCTTTTGAGATGGCTGGAATTGCATATCCAAGTGCATAAGGGACACGTATACATCTAATATAACACATTCATGACATGGCTGCGGTAGTGTTATTTAAAGCGGCGTAAAACCATACTCATTCAAATATGTACATGTGTGTGTGTGGAACTATAGATCAACATACGACTGGACGATTTACGGGACACAGTTGGAGAGATGCCAAGTAAGGTTACAATGACATGAAATGTAATCACGCCTTCGTGGCCTAAAACGTCCTTAAGCATGTTATGTTAGCTTGTCTATGATCCAGACTACCTGATGCCTCGCAAGCCCTGCATAACGGGGTCAACCGTGGGCCTTCACCCTGCATGTAAGGTAACATGACAGTGTACGGCTCGTCGACGTCAGGCGGACATTCCATACAGTTAACGCTTACGGTGCCGTTCTCCGTTTAATCGTTACACGTGATCCAATTTTCTAAATTAGGAACCATTGTTGATTAATGTCTTCTGAATACATACACGGGATCCTAACAGCGACCAGGAAAGTCCGGATATCGGGGGTTTCCCTGTACACTACAGTCAGTGGGATCGATCATACTAAAGATATACGAAAAAACAACGTTCATGTGAAAATACGGTATACGATGTTAATTCTAACATATTCATGAATACAGTAGAACACGGATATAACGAACACGGATATAGCGAACAAACGGATACAACGAACTGTTAAAAAATCCCCGATTTATCTCCTATATAATATCATATAAAATTTACGTATATAACGAACTCTCTACAGCGAACTAACGGATACAGCGAACTGTAACTATTGACGTGTATAGCGAACTGAGAAATCTCTCAGTGTCAAGTGTCTGGCAAAAGCTGTTTGTATATACAGAAGTGGTTTTCATACGTACATATGATTTGTGTGGTTGTCATAAGTTCATATAAAAATCACTTGTGTGTATATGTGTTGTTAAGTTTACATCCGTGGGGGTGTTTCTGGGTAAGAATGTAGGTCCCCAGCAACCCATGCTTGTCGAAAGCGGCGACTAACGGGATTTCTATGAGCAACGCATGTAATGTGGATAAATGCTCAGTTAATTGTCCATGCTTGCCGTAAAGGCGACTAGGCTTGTCGTAAGAGGCGACTATAACGGGATCGCATGATCGGGTGGTCAGGCTCGCTGACTTGGTTAAGCATGTTATCGTATCCCAATTGCGTTGATCGATGCTCATGGTGTCAATCACTGGATTGTCTGGTACCGATTCAATTATTTACAGACCATCGTCATACAGCTGGAATATTGCCGAGTGCATCGTTAAACAACAAACAAACAAACGTGTTGTTTAGTGG